AACTGTCATCCATAAAGGAGTGAGACCACGAGCGCTAAAGGCTGTTAAATGTGCAACCAATTCCATGGAGCTCTAAAAAGACTACGTCATCCTAGATAAGTGAATGCACAGTAACTGTTTGATATCCAGACTTCAGAAATAACAAACTATGTTCTTATGATCTTCAGAAAGACACTACGCCATCTACTTCTTCTGTGGTTAATGAACTTCTAGTACTTCTTTGTAACGTGACCTAGGTTTGTTGCAAACAGGAAGCTTACGCGTCGACAGTGGCAACAATGAACGCACTCAAGATTTGTCACATTTTACCCCTATCAAATGATAGGAAACATTAAGCAAATGTTTTCTTAGTTTGAGGCATTTCTCGCAATCTATCCGCTGCCACTGTTGATAACCTATCTCACTCACTTCTCTTCTTGTCATCCTCAATCTATAATTGTTGATAAAATTTTATTCATCTATTTATCCAATCGATTAGCTTATTTGCCCTGACCACTGTCTACTCTCCACGTTTTCCCATTTTAGATCCAAAGCTGATTGGGCTACAAGTGTTTGATATAATTGGAGTCTGATATGACCTCGTTGATTTCTCACTAGTAATAGGAAATATCCACTTTCCTACTACCGTATTGGAATATTTCAGCACCTAGAAGGACACGGAGTGCACCTTCGACTTGCTGGTAGAGGTCATCAAAGCAGATTCTACAGCCATAATTATATTAAAGATAACTCAGGGTGCTGTAATGCTGGCGAACTCGGTCGACTGCTGTCATCTCAGTTCCTTCAACAGAAACCTTCATACATCTACTTCTCAACACAGGATGTGTGATTGCGTTAGAGGATCCGTGCAAATCTGCTTATTAGAATGATCAAATGCAACGTTACAGATTTGTGTGTCTTTCAGTTCCTATTCACGTGTGGCGTATACTCACTTGTCCATATTGTTTTTCTCTCTCGAAACTTTTATCTCACTTCTTAAGCTGTCTAACATTTCACCTTAAGTCCATTGAGAAGCATAAGCAGTAATAGCGTTGCCACTAGTACTTACAATATAATTACAAGGACGACTAGTGGAGGTAGTTGTGTCTGTTAAGAGGTCAATAACATATTAAACATCCCTGCTCCCGGCAAAAGGATCATAAGAAAATTCAAGACAACACTGGTTAAGGAGTCTCCAAGTAATATATGCAAAACGGATCGCTCAACTCAGACAGCAGAACCAAATATCCAATTTAGTAACCGAGATCAAACTCCGACCCAGGTTCCAACTCCTAGTCATAACAGTTAGCACGAAATAAATAAGAGAAAAAGGCGTCCTAAACTACCTGTATTGTAGACAACTACAGAAGAGAAGTGAGGTTGCAAGGTGTAACACGATTCTGATAAGATAGGGTCCACAAAACAGGTGGATTGACGACGTACAGTCACTCCAAAGCCGTAATACTGAATTGGTCAAGGCGATATAATCATTGAATGTACACAGCACAGTGTAATTGATGGAAGAAATATGTCGACCTCTCATTGGCCCTAACTACGGAAACGATGAGATAATACATGGGGTACCAAATATAGTATACAGGGGGTCATGCAGAATCTTATCGAAGACAATGTACCTGAGGTAAAACACACAATCGGTAAGCGAAGACACCGGGATAAACGAGACACAGGACGCTTGCTACTGACCAAACAGAGAACCTGGCGCAAATGAAGGGTTCGGATCAGAGCTCCTATTTTTCATTGAAAAACAGATGCATAAAGAAGTTCCACTGTGATATGAGAAGTTTTCAGGCCAAGCTAACAGATAAAATTCATGCTAACCCTAGATATTTCGATAGACTAAAGACCAGAAGAAGGTTCACAAACAGATGATTTTGCACTGTAAAAGGAGCAAATGGCGAAATCTCACCTGGAGATGGCAGAGATCTCTAATGTTAACTTCTTAAATCAACCGCCACTGCAGAACACCTCTCAACTCAAGTGCCGGTTGAGGATCTGGGAGACATCTGACCAAATCTAGGGTCAGTATTAAAGAGACTTAGGTCCCTGAACCCAAGAACGTTACCGGGAAGTGACAATATTCGATCTATAATCCTAAATCAGTGCGTGGAAGACATCATAACACTAGTGCGCGACCTGTTCAGGACCTCAATAGAATCATACCAACTCCCAAGTGAGAAGAAGCAGGAATCTCTCTCCAATCCCCAAAAAAGATATGGAAAATACCCATCCAGTAAAGTACCTGTCTCATTACTCCCAATACTGTCGAAGGTAATGACGGGCTCGTCAATGAATGCATGGGTGAAAAGACATCACGAAGCCTAAAGCATATTCAGAAAAGTGTGGTCCGATGTGGCCACTCTACTCAAAGCGTAAGAAATCTGACCGATCTGCTCGAACTATAAGATACCGGTTTATGCTATATATCTCGAATTCGCGAAAGCCTTTTAAACAATATCTCTAAAATTCTCATAACAAAGATTTTAAAGACGGATTTTACTGACACACTTTAATTCTGTCACCGGAACTATTTTCAGCACATGACATTTTGTACAAAGATAAATAGAGAGAATATAGTTTCAACATCATGAGTCTCAGAATATACCCGATTTTTATTAAGGATACGGTAGACATATTAACTCGAGCGCACTGAACTTCTCAGATGGCGCATATACTCGGATTTCGAAAAAAAGCGAAGAGTATTCACCTGAGCTTCAAACAGAACTTACGGCAACAGAAGAATGGACCATAGACAATGGCTCAAAACTTACCTTGTCAAAATATCATATTATAAGCATTCAGCTCCATTTGACACAAATAAATAATGTCCTCCTTGAAAATCCACTCCCGATTGTCTCCTCAAAGCCTGCTTTTCTGCTAATAACCACAAAGGGCGTGGATGTGAGCTCAAACTACGTACAACGTTAAGCCAAGGTAAAGGTAACGCTTCATTTTACACCAAGACAACTCGACTCAACCGCAGAGACGAGCAAACAAGTGTTTGAAATGACTATAATACGAATATTAATAGGACGGATTCCAAGAGCTGAGGTTATTCTTGTTGAGCTAGAAGTAATCTGATAATGACATACAACACTGATAGAAACTTCAAACCACCTAACTACGAGTATCCTAACAGAATGTCACTGTCACCCTCGTCGACACAGCCGATGGGATCTTGCACATCCAAGAGGGAACACCTAGATACACTTGTGGAGATATGACTGATAAGCTTATTTAGTAAGTAGTTTTTAATAGTACTTGTATTTACTTTGTCAATTTTTCACCGTATGTACATTTATCATAAAATGACAGCACGAGTTGTTTTAGTAAATGACCTTGAACACACTTTCCATTGTGATACTGACATAGCGTGACATACTCTTGCTGGCTAACAAATACACTACTACTCACACGCTCCTCGTTCTATCTTCGTTTGTGATTGAGTTAACTGAAGTCTAAATCAAATACTATCTACATCAATAGACTGTAATTGGAATATATCACATCATACGTTGGATTACATCACCGGAGAGCTCGTCAACCCGATCAGAATTACCAAGCATTTATAATTGTGGATTTACAATACCGCACCTAATCAGGACACGCAACATTTGGTTAATTTAAGTGACGTCCCAAATTTTTACTGTATTTGTAACAATTAACTCAAATATACTAATATTACTATTGATCTTTAGTAACTTTATTGATACTTTTCGCGTTCATATCTCTCTGGTCCACCACACACTCACACATTTTCTGAATAAGAGTTGTCCCTATTTGAAATACCCTCCCAGATGAAATGAACACAGTGAAGATGGCACAGGTATTAAAGAGTTGATCTAACCTTTGTCGATCGGTTAGGGCATGAGTTGGAACGAGGATGGGGACACGATCTTTATCTTAAATACCTTAGGAGTCTATTCGGTCATAGGGGAATATTAAGTACGAGAATACGAGGGAAAAATATATTGATATCCTGAGACACGGGGAGAAAATATCACAATGTATAAAAAATAAAAGGCAATAATATATAAACCCCAAAAAGGAACAGACACAGTTGCAATTAGGTGCACCAGATCACGTTGGTCTCACCAATGATGATGACACAAGTCGAAGAGATCGGGAGAGTGTATTTGGCGATAACCAATATATCGGAATTCTCTGATCTAATCTGACTAGCGATTGAGGTAGATGTTGAGCACAGCGTTACCAGACGTGATCTGGTGCGGATGCATGAACGAGCGCCTTCAGCTAGATGAGTCCACTAAAACATATGGTCACCATCCAATGTCGAAAACTTACAGAGCTATTTATTTTGGGGATTAATTTACCGCTACAACAGATTGCTCAGTTGACAGATTTCGGAAGAGAATTTACAAACACATACTCACTCATGTATTGCCAATTCCCTCCTGATCAACTGTGTCTCATGCATATCCCATAAATTAACACAGCTATCAATAGTTACATCCTATCTCCCTTAACGTCATCTCCGTTTCCCCTTTTATTCTTACACTGCAATCTTCTCACATTGTCTGCATTTTAAGCACATGAGCTCATTTATTTATAAGTTCTTGAAACAATCGTCTTCTCTTAGCACTCATTACTCTCAGATTGCAATCAACCAATCTCCTCGCTGGTAATGTGATAGCCACTGGCATCCAAAATCCATGCAGCTATGAGTAGAACACACCCACTCAAACTACAAGATATACCAACCCACAAATGGCTACCAAACTGACTAGAATTAGTGCGGTAGAATGAATTGACAGACATTCACTGAAATACTTAAAACCTTACCGAAACAGCAAGAAACACATCAATTGATTTGTACGAGCTCGTGACAAATATATTTGGTATGGGATCTCATCCTACTGAAGCGAACCATTTTATTAGTTTATTCTTAAAATGTTTAAATGGATTGTGCAGTCGACAATACCGAATTACCATTGTTTTTCCAGCTCTCTACAAAAACTGAAACTACTTTGACCTTCAGAAATACTTCACGGCCGCGGATGTCATAGCTCCAAGTTCGAAATTTGTTACATATGTTCATGAACACTAATCGCCCATTTGACATTCTAGTAAGCAATTTTCTCAACTGCGTATAAGTTATTATTCATTTAGATTCCTTTCGGAATAGTAGGTTTATTAAGCATTGTAGAACTATCCTGAATCGCGGGATGGCGTGATTTTTTTTGCCACCAGTAGGAGTTTTACTATGATTAAACAGAAATCATTGGTTTCTATTTAACTACAATGCATTGTAGCTAAATAGAGAAAAGAAAGGAAACATCTAATCTTGTCTTTTGATCTCTGTCGCACGTCTTTTCCCTGTTTGGCTACGAATCCGTAGCAATAAGCAAACTGAAAATGTCGACTAGGACATCATCCTAATAACAGGAATTTCTAGACATTTCTGTTTCCCCATTTAACTACTTACATTTCTTGATTTACTAGCTCAAATGATTAGCCGGTCACAATGTACTGCTGGGGGTTTGTTTTTTAACCGACTTAGAGCAGTTTAGGTTAAATCTGATCTAAATTGGAAATTTGAAATCACTTACTTACTGTTACGATCATTGAGACCAAGTTCACATGTTAACAGCAGAAATATGGTTTGCGCTTCGAAATGTCACCACGCTGAAGTGATGCATACTTGGTCACAATTTAATAAACCAGGGTAGGGTAACGATAAGAACAGACGGAATACTTATTGGGATTTCAGTTTTCGCACACGGAAACCATCAATGAACCTTATATACGATTGAACACATTTATACGACGTTAAGATGCTGACTTGATATTAATTCGATTTCAAACTAAAATTGCAGGAAAACTGTCCACATTTATGGTAGATTATTGTACGAATTCACTCGTAAACAGCATGAAATTCGGTTTGGAAATTAGTTTCGAATTCTGTGAGGCGTAGATTATCTCAAACAACAATTTAAATGAAGCAATAAGATTTCTATAGTTGTGAAGTTAGATTATTACTTCGTTGTGGCCTTTATCTCTTGCCTGTGCGATTGTTAAAAATTAGTGAAGCCTCTTACACTGATCTGTTTCCCTTGTTAACCACATTAATAATGTCATTGACATTATAATTTACAGTGCCAGTAAACAAGCCTTTGTATTTATGATATGAGTTTATCAGCACACTTTCCATTTTTATTCACAAGAATCGAAGTGGATTCGATAAACAATATGAAGAGTACAAACAAGGAATGTCTCTTACTCAGTCCGTGATGAGTATATTCCAAGAGAAGTAAGTTCTCTATGATTCTACTTTCGTGTATGGTTTGCAGCTTATATACCGGTTCAAATGACCTTCGTAACCTACTTTTGAACTACTGTTCTAGGTTTTAAAATATTCTGGCGTCAGTCAATCATAATCGCCGTAAGCGTGGTAAGAATGTGCATGTTTCAACCCACCATTACTTCAGTCAGCACTGCTTGTTGAGGTAGGGGTGGTTGGGAATACGTAACAAATCTTCCAGCTACTACAACCTCAGCAATCAATTTCTTCGGTACCCTACCTTCTTTCCCACCATCCTTCACTTGGTTGTTTTATTGAAGAAAGAAACATCCATCTCGACGTAGACTACTCATAAATGCCGTGTCCTTTCTAAGGATTAATTTTTCAGAACAGCGGCATCGCTGACTCAGTATCCCTTCATTGCATATCCGCACATGTTCACATGCTAACTTGCATAATAAACATGATACTTCCACACAGTTGTCTATACTATATAGTAGCTTGCCAAATAATTCCTATATCAGCGAACTAAGTCATTAGTTTTTCCTTGCGTACACCGCCTTTAAGCGTTCTGATTAGGAAATTTCTGTTTCTTATTACAATAACGATACTGCCTAATTTTTAGTTTCATCTGACGTCTATATAAGTGGTCTCAATTCGTATCCACATTTTGTGTTTACGTCAATGTGTATAAAAAATTACTTCCAAGCTTGCGAATTCTACATCGGCCACCTAGATAAATATTGGTGTATGGCTTTTACTGAATTTTTCAGTTTTAATTAGAAAGGACCATTTATCGAGTCGATTAGAATTGAGATAAGGTTACAACTTCAATGACAGTAATTAAGGATTGCACTACATTAGAATGAAGTAGAAAACGTAGATTGTAACTAATTAAATTAAAGCCCCCGAATGCCCTGGTACGGCCGAGAGTGGGGTGAGTCCGCTCTCCCTCTCGAAATACTCTCACACGGCCACGCGTATACAGCCTCTGCCAGGGAAGTCCTACTCATTACCTTCTCGTGGCGGGGGTGTTGTTTACGAAAATGAGAGGACGAAAAGCGAATGTCCGGCGCTTTAACCGGATTCCAAATCAATGGTGCACATGGGCTCCAGTATCCTGCGGGAACAAATGGCGTATGAACCAATCTTTGGTCACCGGCTACCATGGGATTGCATCTCCTTACGATGCTCCACTGCCTTGTGGGTTAGACCTTTAGGTCAAAGGCTCGGGGAGTGGCCCCCTAAGATAACCATCTGCTTCGGTTTGGGCACCCGGGCAGTATCACAGCCCACACACAAACGATGAACTCTATGTCTATGGCAACTACTTTTCTCGCTCCGAAAAACAATCGATCGATTCAAATAATTATCATTACTATTATTGTCATTATTAATACTATTATTATTACTATTATTGTCGTCATTATTATTATTATTATTTTTATTTTTATTATTATTATTTTCCACATTATTCACCCTCTTTTATACTTATACAGCGGCTCGTCTTTGGTGGAAATCCGACTGTATCTAAACGTTCTCGAGTCGCTGTCCGGTCGAAAATTGTATGTTACCATCGAATATGAGTACTGAAGCAGTTTTTCTGAAACCACGTGCGCCATTCAAACTGGCTGCCTTCAACGTTCGCACACTTATGCAGGTTGGTCAACAGATAGGGCTGGCTATGTCTTTGGAAAGTCTTAATATCGACGTGTGTTGTCTATCCGAGACCCGTATTCAAGACTCTGGGGAAGTACTACAAATTCGCTCTACATCTGTCACTTCAAAAAGCTTGTTTTACGTGCGCTTATCCGGGGACCCTGTGGCATCTTCGTCTGGTCTTGCTGGTGTTGGTGTCGCACTAAGCGCTAGAGCTGAGGCAGCACTAGTCGATTGGATCCCCATTAACAGTCGGTTATGTGCTGTTAGATTAGAAAGTTCCATCAAAGTGAGAAGAAATCGGCGTGAGAAACGATGTCTTTTCGTCATCTCCGCCTATGCCCCGACAGATTGCAGCCCGGATGCAATCAAGGATGAGTTTTACCACCAGTTAACTGTTCTTCTCCAGAACGTGCGTTCGACAGATATTGTAGTACTAGCCGGAGACTTAAATGCTCAGGTCGGGCGTCTAGGCACAGAAGAGAGTCGTTTAGGTGGCCGATGGGGACTCGTTGGTCGCAGGTCAGATAACGGGGACCGTCTACTGCAACTGTGCACAGACCACAACCTGTTTCTGGCTAGCACTAACTTTCGGCACAGTCATCGCCGATGTGCCACCTGGCGTCCTCCCTCTGCATCCCAAGCCTGGACTCAGATTGATCACATCGCGATCAGCTACCGCTGGCGTGGTTGTGTAAAAGACTGCCGCTCCTTTTGGAGTACCTATCTGGACTCTGACCATGCCTTGGTCTGCGCCAATCTTGCCTTACTTTTCAGTGGACAACGAAGTGACCACCACCAAAAGATTGATGTTAGCAAGCTGGTTGCAACTTCTGTTGCAAGTAAGTATCGAACCGAGCTAGCCTCTAGGCTAGCTACCACTCCACCGAAAAGTATAGATGAGCATTGGTTGCAATTGCATGACGCCATGAAAATGGCGGGTACAGTCAGTTGTGGGTTCGCGAAACGACCCGCTTTTAAGCACTGGGTTTCTTCTGGTTCCTTACAACTCATTGAAGCCCATCGGTCTACTCCGGGTGACCGTGAATTTGACCATAAACGAAGGAAGTTACGTGAGGAAATTGGACAAAGCTTGCGTAAGGACCGAGAAGCCTGGTGGTCGAAGCGTGCTAATGAGCTGGAAGTAGCAGCTGCATCTGGTAACTACCGGAAGCTCTTCCAGCTCATCCGAGCCACTGGCAGCAAGAAGTCTGGTGTGAGTGAAACAATCTGCGAGGATGATGGGATGCCAATCACTAACATCCATCGACGTCTTGGACGATGGGCAGAATTTTTCGAAGGGCAGTTCAACTGGCCTGCTGCTCCGGCAACATCGGTCAGACTGTCCTGCCCTCCATGGCCGGTGACGACTGATCCACCAAATGAGGCCGAAGTCCGCAAGGAACTCCAACTCTTGAAGCGTTACAAATCACCTGGCCCAAATGACTTACCTTCGGCTCTTTTTAAAGATGGTGGTGACTTTTTGACTAAGGAATTGACGACGTTGTTTACCAAGGTTTGGGAACTAGAGAGTGTGCCAACGTCATGGAATGAGTCGATAGTTGTCCCTATCTTTAAAAAGGGTTCACGTCGTTCCTGCAACAACTATTGGGGGATAAGTCTACTTCCGATTGCGTCCAAGCTATTGGCTTCCGTCATACTTCGTAGGTTGTTCAAAACTCGAGAAAGATTGACTCGCGAGGAGCAGGCTGGGTTTCGTTCTGGTCGAGGATGTATTGATCATATCTTCACCCTCCGCCAAATGTTAGAACATCGGCATTCTTATCAAAGGCCAACGATCGTAGTGTTTCTTGACATCAGGGCTGCCTTCGATTCGTTGGATAGGACTGTTCTCTGGGATTGTCTATTGAAGAAGGGTGTGGCTGAGAAGTTTATTAACATCCTAAAAGCCCTATACACAAACACCTCAGGCAGAGTGAGGGCATACAACCACCTCTCTCCATTGTTCCATTCGAGTAGTGGGGTTAGGCAGGGTTGCCCAATCTCACCATTCCTCTTTAACTTTGCCATCGATGACATTCTGGAAACAGCTCTGATGAATGTAAGTAATGGTGGTGTGGATCTGTTGCCTGGAGAAAGACTTCTCGACCTTGAGTATGCGGACGATATTGTCTTACTGTGCGATAATGCCCAAGGCATGCAATCCGCACTTAATCAGTTGGCAATCAGTGTCCGTAGGTATGGTATGTGCTTTTCACCGTCGAAGTGCAAAGTACTTCTACAAGACTGGCAGGATTCCAATCCTGTACTCACCCTGGATGGTGAGCAGATAGACGTAGTCGACAAGTTCGTGTATCTGGGTAGCTGCATAAGTACTGGTGGGGGTGTGAGTGATGAGATCAATGCACGTATAGTGAAAGCCAGAGCGGCTTATGCCAATCTGGGCCATCTTTGGCGCCTTCGTGATGTTAGTCTGGCTGTAAAAGGTCGGATCTACAACGCGTCGGTGAGAGCAGTTCTGCTCTATGCTTGTGAAACCTGGCCTCTCCGAGTTGAGGACGTTAGACGACTCTGTGTTCGATCATCGCTGTCTCCGAAGGATTGCTGACATTCAGTGGCAACACCATGTCAGTAATGCAGAGGTTCGGCATCGTGTGTTCGGGCACAGAGATGATAATTCAATTGGTGTCACCATCTTGAAACTCCGACTTCGGTGGCTTGGACATGTTCTACGAATGTCGTCCCAGAGAATTCCACGTCGTGCATTATTTGCCGACTCTGGGACTGGTTGGAAGAAGCGGAGAGGTGGTCAGTGCATGACATGGTGTCGTGGTATGAAAGAAAGCTGCAAAGGACTGGCTTGTGTCGGTCCTTCACGACTCCCTGGTTGGGGTCCGAGAGATGGTGCTACACAGTGGCTAGAGACGTTATCAGATATGGCTCAGAATAGAAGCCAGTGGCGATCCTGCTGTAACCTTCTTTTACTTTCTTCATAAAAAGTGGTTGTGTCTCCTTTACCTGAAAGATTTCTTCCGATTGTACCTTTGCGTTCCCTGTTTACTAGCACATTACCTTACACCAATCTCTTCGTTATTGTTCTCTCTTTTTTTGTGCTCCTTAGCTTCTTTTTTTCTTTGTATTCCTCTTCGAATATTCATTGTTCTGTGTGGCGCATATATATTGGCGCTCTCTTGTACCAATATTCATGTGTTGGTCTTCTTCTCTTCTATTGTGTTCAGTCTTATTCCATTACCAAAGTGGACCTTATACACCCATCCAAAAGCTCATTGGTTTCTAATGGTTAATTGTTAATTAATATTCTTTCCAAAAAGTATTTACTTAAAGCCTGGTCACAGACTGCTGCATTGTTTTGTTTGCTTCGTCACCATTAAATACGAAAAGTTATTATTGAAATAAAAATTATTATGATTGTTTCTAAATTAATGCATGTGAATATCACCTTTGTTTTTGCAAACATTTTTCAAAGTATACCACATAATTCACCAGTCAGTCAGCCAGTTATAGGGGCCGTAAAACCTGACAGGTTTGTACGTCGATTCAGTTTGCTATACTCCATTAGGACAACCAAATATAATTGTCAGGTCGAATTCTAAGGAAGTAGATTTAGTAACCGCAGTAGTAGTAATACAAAAGATTAGGCAAAGATTTGATTCTAGAGGAAAATATGAATTCGTGGAATACAAAATAATTTACATAGTAATATAGAAGCTTGGAGTTTAAGAGGAGATAAAAAGTAAAAATATCTGCACAACTGTGACTGATTTCGATCCATGTCACTCAGTCTCTGACCATTGGTTACGATAATCACACAAATCCAAACCAGGTCGTCTGCGCCTATCTACATGGTTCTGTTGGACAGTCAGTTTTCATAGACGGATGTTGCGTTTTAGTTCAGGCATTTTTATGACTCACGGTGTTCAAGTCTTATACTAACACACAAGCTTCCTCTACAAAAGCCCCCCACCCCAACTGGCTACTGAGTGAGAAGAAGAGTGAAGGAGAAAGTTTATTGAGCTAAACTGAACTAAGTAGATGAATATATATGTCTGCTCATTAGAAAATAAAATCATTTCTTGGCCAATAATATACACTTGTTATTAGATTTTGGATTCCCGCAACGCGACTTTCTTATTTGATGACTTTTGATTGACGCAGTGTATCATGGATCGCTAACCTTCTTACATCAGACATCATCTCTCATCTAGGCAGCCACTGAATGGAGATACCTAGTACATTCCTTAACGATCTCAGTCGATAAAGATCCACTGCCCCATAAGTCGATTCGTCATATTTACCTAGTCCTTTTCGTCTAACCTCATCATTCCTCACTCAGTGGTCCCAAAATACTCGAACAATTGTTCGAAAACACCATCGAAAGGAAAAATAGCTCTGGTTTATAACCTACATCAACGTTCTAGTGGTTTGTAAATGATGAAAAATATTACGCAGCTTAACTATTCAGAGGTATTTCCGTATGATACAACTATTTTCTCACCATTGGGATACCCTCATGTACTATTTTTCTTATCGTTTTTTTGGAGAATAGATGTGAACTTCAGTCGAATTATTCACGAGCTCTATCAGGATTAAGTGGTCGTTTACGTGATGCTCTGGCAAAAACAACGGGTGGGTAAGTTTTTCAAAAATACAATTAACAACCATTTTGCTTTCTTCAGACATTTACAATTATGAACATTTAAAAGATAATGATCAGTTGTATATACTGAATTATGTCTTATAGTCTTTTGTGTATGATATTTGCTGTTGTACAGGGGTACCTTAGTTTCTCGCCTAAGTTCAAGCTTTTGACTTCCGAGTTTATCCGCTCTTTCTGTAGTCAGTTCTTCAGATAAATGGCTGATAGCCAGACTTCAGTTTTACTACATCCAGTAATTTTTGTATAAAAACATACATGAAATTAAAAGTTTTTCACCTATTATGAAGAATAATTTATTTATTATATGATGTAATTGGAGACGCTAGGATTTTATGTGACCAGTAAACTAGGCAATAAACAAAATATAAATGATGATTTTAATCAAGCTCGCACATCCTTGGCAGTACAGTAATTTTTCTTAATCACTGCCATCTACTGAAATAAAACATATTAGATACAAAGTAATGTGTAAAACCATATGGTACCATTCTGTTTTTCAAATACCACACACAGCTTAGTACTATGAAATTTAAATACTTCTTCAGTACGTCGCTTCCAGAATACGATACTGATCCATTCAGTCGATTAAAAATCCGCCAGATAATAAATACTTGAGATTGGCTGAGAAATGGTTTTCATTTTAATAAGTTTTGCTATCGACACACCAAAGCTGTTTTCCTAGCCGGTTCCGATATCCCCAACTACTACGCGTCAACTGGAGCGCTAGAGTGAAGGCTCGAAGTTCGACTAAAAGCTTTACTCTTAAGTTCTTTTATTTATAGAAAACAAGGGTATTTATAGAATCGCACGCGACATTAGACATATTAGCAGTATAAGTAAATGTGTAATCAAAATAGTGGCCCATAATTTTGCTTTTTGTAGATTTTGTTTGCAAAGGTTCTATTCAACACTGATAGAATAAAACGTTTCCTGGCGTTTCTGGGCCTCCAGGATCTTTGGCGTTAGATTTTTTTGGGACAACAACACATTTCCAAAGGGTGAAATATACACCAATAGTGGCTTAACCTTTTTAAAGGATATGTGTCAATATATATCTGATTATACATATATGTAGATTCGATTAATTAGTAGACTTTCTCACTCTCAGTCTTTTAACACGAATAGCTAGTTGGTCTCGTGTATAGACAGATTGCATATCAGTATCAACTGTCAGACAACACACGTCACATTATATGTATAATGTTTATGCGCTAATTCACTACTTCGCAACTTCAGTAAAATGAGTGAGACTTGTTTCTTCTTCTTCTTCTTCTTCTTCTTCTCTGATCTGTTAACTAGAATGAAAAGCCTACTTTCTGTACGAAAACTTTATTGATGGAGTTCTCAAAAGAATCATTATTCATATTGCAGTTACAATTATTAAAATTTATGGATTGAATAATTTTCACGACTGGAATATACTAAAATTTAAAGAATGTGGATTATTCTAAATAATTTGTTTAACAAAACGCGTTAAAATTGAGCGAATGAAAATAACCTTAAATTGATATGTAAAATCAAGATTGATTTACTTCACTGTATGTTGTATTTAGAGACTACACATTTCCAACAAACTGACATCTTTTAAAAAGCCATTAAAAAAAGGTAGTGTTGGAATTTTAACATTATCAACCATTTCTGCCAGCTTAACATAGTGGTCAGGTTTGCTTATTGTGATTATCCAGTCGAGGCATATTGGGGAATTCGTTCTAGTAACATCAATTTTTAAAATGAACTCTCAGATTTTTCTGTTGAAACTTATTCACATAACACATAAAAAGTTGGTTCTTCTTTTTTCTTAAATGTACAATCTTTATCTTCAAAATGGTTACTTCCTTACGCCTGTTATTCCCGTTGGAGCCAAGGCCGCCGACGAGCATTCTCCAATCCACTCTGTCCTCGGCCTTCCTTCCCAGTTCTATGCAATTTTTGTTCACTGTCCTCATTTCTGTCTCCATTTCTCCACGTAATTTGTTCTTTGATCTTCCTCCTATCATTTCGCCTTGACGATTTCATATGATGACGGCTTGCGTTGTGCCGCAGTTGACTGCTTTCCTCCAAGTGCCTCTGCTGGGGTTTTCTGAAAAATATCTAAAAAATTATCCTATTGAGTCTAATGTTATCCTTGAACGTGAAATGGTGTCATTTTTCTATTGGTCAATATTTAATTAACGTGTCATTTTCCTATTCCTTCATATTTATTTCACGTGTCGTTTCACTGGTCAACATTTATTTTACGTGTCATCTTAATATTGGTCAATATCCATGGTAGTCCTAACTGTATAAATATGCATTTGTCTGTAAAGTATTATTCTTATTCTTCTACTGACCCTATAAACAGTTTTCGTCTACCGTTCGTGTTCTGATATATTGGAGATTGGGGAACAGTATTGGGGTCGTACTGGGATATCTGAAGTTGGTCAGTCGGTAGAAATTAGAGTAGCCACCCCGCGGTCCACAATAATTTGGTGACGGAGATTTAGCAAGCAAGTTGGTGACTAACTATGGATCCAGCCAAATTAGAAAAATTGTTCGAACAACATCTGAAGCTGATGGAGATGATTACTCAGGCTCACATATCTTCTCGAGTCCCAATTACACCGACAATCCCTCGATCAGTTGATGGTATTACATTTGATACTTGGTTTAGGCATTATGAAGACTTTTTCAAAGTTGACTTTGCTGACAGAGATGATTCGTGGAAGATGCGTCTTCTCCTTTGGAAACTTGGTCCATCCGAGGTGGACAAGTATTGCAACTTCATTCTACCGCAGAGCCCACGCGACCGTTCCTTCGACACCACTATTCAATCTCTTAGCCAAATTTTTGGTGATCATCATTCACTTTTCAATACTCGATATCGCCGCTTTAAACTGGTCATAAATGAGTCCGATGACTTCTTGACCCACGTCGGCATTGTCAACCGTGAGTGCGAACGGTTCAAGCCCAGATCCCTCACTGAAGACCAATTCAAGTCCTTAGTACTCATATACAGTCTTCAATCACCCAAATTCTCCGACATTAGAACTCGGTTGCTTAACCGCCTTGAACAAGACCCAACACTGACAGTCAATGTGATCATAGACGAGTACCAACACATCACCAATCTGCAGTGTGAAACCACTTTGGTTCAGTCTGAGGGCCAGGGTAGTTCCGAAGTTCACGCTGTTTAGCACCAGAAAAATTCTTCGAAATCTACAACCTCTAGTCCTTCGAACGCCAGCGCTGTTTCTGTCTCTAATCACTCCAAACCAGCTCAGAAGAAGCCCCCCTCGCCATGTTGGCACTGTGGAGCCTGGCATTATGTGAAGTTTTGTCCATTCAAACAGCATGTGTGCGGTCGTTGCGAATCCAACCGATTCAATAACCATCGAAATGCACGGACGCAGCGTCATTTTCCCAAAAAACCGATTACCACATCAAAGAGTTTAGCAGCAATCTCCCACAATCATGAGGCGACTCGACGCACATTTCTGACTCCCTCAATGGTCAGCCAGTTCGGTTGCAGTTGGATACTGCATCAGATATCACTATTCTGTTGAAAAAGACTGAGCAAACCTTGGGCCAACCTCCCATCAAACCATCCTCTCAGACAGCCGTCAGTGCCTGTGGGGGTCATCTCCGCCTTCATGGTGAACTCTATTGCTGCATTTCATTCAGAGGTACAACCTTCAGTGGGACGTGCTACATCACCAATTCTCCGCTCAACCTTCTAGGTTTAGATTGGTTTGAAGAACTTGGTCTCGCTGATCATCCCATTAGCGCTATCTGCAATCAAGTACAAACTACTGCCTCTACACAACAGCATGCTGCAGACCTTCAAAAACGATTTATTGAACTCTCAGCCTGGTCTCGGACTTTGTTCCACGACGTAAGCTGTTTTAAGACTGCAGCCAGAAGCTACGCCAGTTTTTCGCCCAAAACGTCTAGTTCCGTACGCACCTCTACCTCTGGTTGACGCTGAACTTCAACGTTTGGAAACTGAGGGTGTTCTAGTACTTGTTTCTTATTGATCATGGGCTGCACCAATTGTGGTTGCAAACAAATCCAATGGTTTCATACGCTGGATCTGGCGGATGCTTACTTCCAAATTCTAGTCCATGATCAATAAGAAACAAGTACTAGAACACCCTCAGTTTCCAAACGTTGAAGTTCAGCGTCAACCAGAGGTAGAGGTGCGTACGGAACTAAACGTTTTGGGCGAAAAACTGGCGTAGCTTCTGGCTGCAGTCTTAAAACAGCTTCCGTCGTGGAACAAAGTCCGAGACCAGGCTGAGAGTTCAATAAATCGTTTTTGAAGGTCTGCAGCATGCTGTTGTGTAGAAGCAGTAGTTTGTACTTGATTGCAGATAGCGCTAATGGGATGATCAGCGAGACCAAGTTCTTCAAACCAATCTAAACCTAGAAGGTTGAGTGGAGAATTGATGATGTAGCATGTCCCACTGAAGGTTGTACCTCTGGATGAAATGCAGCAATAGAGTTCACCATGAAGGCGGAGATGACCCCCACAGGCACTGACGGCTGTCTGAGAGGATGGTTTGATGGGAGGTTGGCCCAAGGTTTGCTCAGTCTTTTTCGACAGAATAGTGATATCTGATGCAGTATCCAACTGCAACCGAACTGGCTGACCATTGAGGGAGTCAGAAATGTGCGTCGAGTCGCCGCATGATTGTGGGAGATTGCTGCTAAACTCTTTGATGTGGTAATCGGTTTTTTGGGAAAATGACGCTGCGTCCGTGCATTTCGATGGTTATTGGATCGGTTGGATTCGCAACGACCGCACACATGCTGTTTGAATGGACAAAACTTCACATAATGCCAGGCTCCACAGTGCCAACATGGCGAGGGGGGCTTCTTCTGAGCTGGTTTGGAGTGATTAGAGACAGAAACAGCGCTGGCGTTCGAAGGACTTGAGGTTGTAGATTTCGAAGAATTTTTCTGGTGCTAAACAGCATGAACTTCGGAACCACCCTGGCCCTCAGACTGAACCAAAGTGGTTTCACACTGCAGATTGGTGATGTGTTGGTACTCGTTTATGATCACATTGAGTGTCAGTGTTGGGTCTTGTTCAAGGCGGTTAAGCAACCAAGTTCTAATGTCGGAGAATTTGGGTGATTGAAGACTGTATATGAGTACTAAGGACTTGAATTGGTCTTCAGTGAGGGATCTGGGCTTGAACCGTTCGCACTCACGGTTGACAATGCCGACGTGGGTCAAGAAGTCATCGGACTCATTTATGACCAGTTTAAAGCGGCGATATCGAGTATTGAAAAGTGAATGATGATCACCAAAAATTTGGCTAAGAGATTGAATAGTGGTGTCGAAGGAACGGTCGCGTGGGCTCTGCGGTAGAATGAAGTTGCAATACTTGTCCACCTCGGATGGACCAAGTTTCCAAAGGAGAAGACGCATCTTCCACGAATCATCTCTGTCAGCAAAGTCAACTTTGAAAAAGTCTTCATAATGCCTAAACCAAGTATCAAATGTAATACCATCAACTGATCGAGGGATTGTCGGTGTAATTGGGACTCGAGAAGATATGTGAGCCTGAGTAATCATCTCCATCAGCTTCAGATGTTGTTCGAACAATTTTTCTAATTTGGCTGGATCCATAGTTAGTCACCAACTTGCTTGCTAAATCTCCGTCACCAAATTATTGTGGACCGCGGGGTGGCTACTCTAATTTCTACCGACTGACCAACTTCAGATATCCCAGTACGACCCCAATACTGTTCCCCAATCTCCAATATATCAGAACACGAACGGTAGACGAAAACTGTTTATAGGGTCAGTAGAAGAATAAGAATAATACTTTACAGACAAATGCATATTTATACAGTTAGGACTGCCGTGAATATTGACCAATATTAAGATGACACGTAAAATAAATGTTGACCAGTAGTGAAACGACACGTGAAATAAATATGAAGGAATAGGAAAATGACACGTTAATTAAATATTGACCAATAGAAAAATGACACCATTTCACGTTCAAGGATAACATTAGACTCAATAGGATAATTTTTGGGATATTTATGTGAATATCCCAACTCTCTCCAATTGTAGGTTGTTGCTGATAGTGTCTGTCCAACGTATCTGAAGTATTTTCCATTGACAGATGTTAATAAATACTTTTATTTTTTGGATGATGACTTTCGTAGTTCTCCAGTTTTCCGCTCCATACAGCATAACTGTCTTGACATTTGAATTGAAAATTCTGACCTTGGTGTTGGTTGACATTTGTTTTGAGTTCCAGATGTTCTTCAGTTTTAAATATACTCCTCTTGCTTTACCGATCCGCTCCATCACATCTGCATCAGATCCACCATGTTCATCAATGATGTTAACCAGATATGTAAAGATTTTCACATCTTCCAAATCTTCTCCGTCAAGTGTGATTCGATTGTTGCATTCTGTGTTGTATCGGAGAATCTTGCTTTTCCGTATATGTATGTTAAGAGACCTGCTGCTGCTAAGGATGCAGTTACACTGGTCGTCCTCACCTGCATTTGTTGTTAATCTTTAGAATGCGCACCTTTAAAAACAAAATTATCTATTATATATTCTTTATTTTTTATAGCACAGTTCATACAGCTTGGTTACGAATAGCTAATGCTATTGAAATAGAATCAAAATTACATGAAAAATTTGTTCAAAATTTATTAAATGATTTAATTAAACCATTGAATAATTTAATTGAAATATATAAAAAGAATAAAAAATCAGTAAGTATTACTCTTCTATATTCATATCATTATTGATATGTTGTACGTTTTTGTTTTCTAGGTTAGAAACATTAAACTTTTTATTATTTGAAGAGTTTTTATATGGATATTATAGTCATTTCAATGGTTGAGATCATGTTTATTTTGTTTGAACACATAAGTACTGGTACAAGGAGGCACCAGATATATATATATATATATATATATATATGCGTGACCATGTGAGAGCATTTCGAGAGGGAGAGCGGACTCTCCCCACTCTCAGCCGTATTAGGGCATTTGGGAGCGTTGAGATCATGAGTCGATTGAAGTTTGGTTGTCTAGTGATTTCAGGTTTTTCATGATATTGATCTAGTTTTAATTGACTCATGATCTCAACTTTTAAATTTATTATTATTTTTTAATATTTGTTCACATTCCTATCATATAGATGAATTATTTGATATAATGTCATACACATAGTTCCCCTTATTACCTTAAAGATAGTAAGAACGAAGATTGATGCAGAATAATATGAATTCATTATATTTCATTAGGTTCTTATCAACTATTTACAACCTAAAACATTTGAAAATCAACGTTATTACATATATTGACATACTCATATATACGAAGGTGATTACAGATGAATATGTGTATCATGATGTAGCGAAAATTTCAATAGAGTTAATGAGGTCATTAAAATAGTTGGTTGTTTCGAATAAATAAAGTTTGAGAGAGAATGTTCCAGAACATTGAAATAGCAATTAGACCTCATGAAGTTAACAAACATTAGATGATTGTGTAATGAAACAATTGAAAATAAATTAACGGTATTAAAGAAAGATATGAATTGAAATCATTCAGTTAATGATATGAATTAAAGAAAAATGACAATGTTGTAATTTAAACTTCAGAAAGAGTTGAATTAATGAATGACGTAACAAACAAACAAAAAGGGGGGGGGTTAATGTTGTTACTACGGCAAAGAAAAATTTATTACTCTCTTTTTTTGTATACATAGATTTGGTTTTACACGTTGGATTGCAATAACAATGTTCAATATTCTGGAACTTTCTTTCCCAAACTTTATTTATCCGAAACAAACACTTTTTTAATGACTTTACTAACTTGATTGAAATCTTCGCTACATCATGATACATTTATCCATCTGTAATCATCGTCGTATATATAAGTATGTCAATATATGTAATAACGTTGAATTTCAAATGTTTTTAGGTTGTAAATAGTTGATAAGAACCTAATCAAATAGAATGAATTTATATCATTCTATACCAATCTTCGGCTTTGCTCTCCTTAAAAATTATTTTGTCTTGTAGTTAGTTTTGAAATGTATCATGTTGAAACAATGAATGGTATAAGTACACTATACTGACAAACCAAAAAGATTTAAGATGGCCCCTTTTTGGTTCTTTGCGCCAAATTCAGAATTCATTGTATGATAGCTTGTTTCTTTATGAAAGCTAAGTAAATATTATCAATATTTAGCTACTAAAATGGCTAAATTTGATGAAAAGATTAAAGAATGAGAATATGGTTTATGAATTTGTTAAGATAATATGAATGTTCTTGATTTTTTTAAATCAAAGAACTAATTCCGTAAGGATCTCTCGATATGATCCTGCAGAGAATTCGTCTACTCTATTTATAATCAGTACTCCCGATTCCTAACTGGTCTCTTAATCTTAAATTTTAGATCTGACTTAACTCTCCTAATTCTGAATCCAGAAGTTAACCTAAACTGCTATGCTTTGTATGTATTTATGTAACACATTTTATTCATCTCTATCATTTATATTCTTATTGGTTAAAAATTTCCCTTCTTAAGATCATTTAAATCACACTAAAAGTCATCAGTAAAACATATTTTTAATGACAAAAAGGAACTAAGAAAAGCATAGATTAGTGAAAGCTCTGATTAATGTATTTATTATATACTGCCATTAATTCGTAGGCGAGATATCCGTCAATCGACCAAAGGACGGGTTTACTGCACAGTAATTCGTTCCGTCCTACTTTATGGCTGTGAAACATCGTCGGTAAGAGTAGAGGATATTCGTACGTTACTAGTATTCGATCATAGGTGTCTTTGAATAACATCTTCAAACCTTAATGTTTCCAATTACTGCTTATACTTTTACTACCTCTACCACTATGGGATTTGAATTGACCATTGTATCTCTGTGCTAATGTGGTGTGGCAACTCGAATTGATGTACGTACGTACGAAGTTCTATGTTGTTGCCGACCGACTGAGTAATACAGGCTAAATAAGTCAGGTCGAAAAATAACATAAGTTACTCCTTTTTAACTGAAAGATTACTTTGGACGAATTGTTATTAACAACAAGTGCTTCAATAATTACAGGACGCGTACTATTAGAGGTTATTTACACGACCATGTATTGATTAGATTTAAAGTTGTATACCGTTAGTCGCCGGCTCAGGGATCTAAAAGGTATGTGTTTGTGTGTCAAGCTGAACATCCTGGGTTCAATTCCTGGTGATCAGTTTTTAAATATGGACTGATGAGGAGTTTCATGCTGGCACGAAACAACTCCCTAATGTTTCATGATTTATAATGATTGTCTAAGATCAATCCATGATGTAAACTGCAAAGCTGAACTATCTCCACAAATCTTTCATACTGTTCATCAAAATGCATTTTATTCCTATACTACTGCTATTTCATATTGACTTCTTTTTAGTTAATTTCTTTTTCTACCTTCTTTTTTTTCAAAGCTAAAAAAATGTATCGACAAAGAAACCAATAATTTATTCTCTTTGTACGAAATGGAATTTCATGCCAGACATAAATTATTTACATGTTTTCGTAATTATGAACGTGTTTGTTACAACTATCACATACAATCAAGGGATCAGCAAAACCAATTAAGTCGAACTATTCAATCTAATAATGATATACAGAAAAAGCGTAGTTTAAGCATGAATCGATTTGATACATCTAGTCTATCGACTATGGACTCGACAAATAACAGTTTATTATCAGATCATTATTCATCGATTCGACGAAATTCTATTGATGTTGACACTAAAGTAATAACGACAACTCTCGAATCATATGACACAACAACAACAACAACGACATCAAATCTACTAACTTTTAAGGATACTGATAGTTCAACGAGTCCATATTTTGCTTCACGATCCAGTACTTTGTATACTTCTCTACCCCATAAGAAAAATCCAAACATTATTCGATATCATAGCAGCTTGTCGTCGAGAAATGGAAGAAAATTTTTAACAATAGATAAGGTTTGAAGTTTTTTTCAAATACACTTTGATAACTTATATGCATACTTATCACTTATCCATATGTTTCTTGGTGGTCTTTTATTTACTGAATATTTACATTTATCATATTATCAGTAGTTCAACTTTATTATAGATAGCATGAGAATTCATAGCTGATCTCTTCTCATGACTCTTCTAACTGAGTAGAAGCTGGTCTAATGTTGGCAGGTATTGTTTAAATTCTATTGACCTATGATCTCTTCTCAAAAAAGAATTTTTGATATATCTGGCGGATTTCCTACATTTATGTAGGAATCTCCTAAATGTGTTGTACTGGTTTCTTCCTCGTGGAGTCGAAGCCGATCAACTCAAAAGAGATTACTTTCGTGTGAGATGACTTAATATACTTCAATTGAAGAGGTATCAGCATGTATTAACTGACGCAACTCTATGGTAAGCAAGCCGAGCAAAACAACTCTGATCTAAACAAGTATTGTTCATTCTAGTTTCCGAATTGACAAGACCACACCTAAACGAAATTTTCAAAACCATTTATTGTTCCACGATGTGGGCGACAGGGGATCTATAACTGCCCTCATACTCCATCCAGATATTTAGAAAAGATCTTTGTGATCAATTTAATGAATTATGATCAGAATCTTCTCATAGTTGCACAGATATTACCCAAATAAACATAATTCGACATTGGGCACAAAACTTACAACATTTTAGGAAAGATATTATCTGTTCCATCCCTATCATTCCGTTTGATTATTGTTATTGTATTTCGCGATATTTAAAATTTTATTTACCACTTCCATAGAAATTATATGACTCTGATATGATACACTGTGAAGTACATTAGAGTTGGTATATATAAGTTTTCTGTCTACGTTGCCTGAAGTGTGTAATGAAATATACCGTTTTTTCTCCATCCTTCCTTTACATTTCGCCATACCTCAATATAACTCTAAGACCGCCTAAAAATATAGAGGCCAAAACTATACTCCTATGCATTTCAAATTAAGTCTGACAATATTGCATAGCTGTTTATACTTTATTAAGTTGAATATGATTCGAACTTACATCCTAATGAATGAAAATGAAATACCTTTACTATTAAATTAAAGATCCATAAAATATACTATTTAGTTTTAAATAGTTCATTTCAATTTCTTATGTTTTAAATAGTGTTATCATACACTTTCTTTAAAAACAACTTCATTTGGAAATAATTGACAACCTGTCAATCAAATACATCTTCCCTAACGATTTTATTCTTGTTTATTGGAGGTTTAGCTATTGTAACATACTTAAATATTTATCTAAAAATATTAAAGAAATCTAGACAAATCATGAAACAGTGATCACAGTGAAATAGATTACATAACTACATATAACAGGTAAAAAGTACAAATCGGTAATAAGAAAACATGTGTACTAGTAGTAGTAATACGTATAATAATAATATATCGAAAGTCCTAGTCAACAGCGCAACATAGAAAGTAGGTAAAACTTGGATAAGTAGATATTATTAAAAGTACGTAAGAAGAAGTGTACAAATCATTAGATTTTTGATTGAGATCATGAACCGATTGATGTTAGACCACCGTTGGAAACCTGGAAGCACGGGACGACTGTTTCGTCCTATTGTGCGACTCCTCAGCAGTGTGCATCCACGATCCTGCTCGCGGGATTCAAACCCATGGCTTTCACTCTCGCGCGCGAACGCTTAACCTACTGGACTACTGAGCCGGCATCCAATAGTGTTAGTGTCTAACATCAATCAACCCATGGAATTGCGCAACCATCTTCTATTGTACTGAGGTAGATACCTGTCTCTATCCGACACTTATTAGCTCCACTGGTCACGGCTTATCACTAGAACTCCGAGAATTCCAAGCTTCCAACGGTGGTTTAACATCAATCGGTTCATGATCTCAATCAGAAACTTAACAATCTCCACAACCCCTTTACTGGAAATCATTAGATATTGAAGAATACAAATAGAAATAGGTGAAAAACGACAAACAAATACGGGATGTGAGAATGAACGAAGTCGTTTATTAAGTGACATCTGTCCAAAAATAGGATAGGAGTGTCACGAATTTCTTTCGAAATCATAAACCAATGCTGTAGGTTCGGATTCCTATATGAGACGGGATCGAACCCCATTGGAAAATGATGAAGATAATGTGAAAAATCAACCAAAATGATCTGGTTTCATCTTCCTCATAACTACTGTCAACCACATGTGCTAGGATACAGCTGCGTATTGTCTTTGTCTGGCCTGATGAGAATTTAATTGATTCCACTGAATCTCGTTGTCTACTCCACACAGTTACATATCAGTTAACTAATATAAAATATTGACAATTGAATAATAAACGAGATGAATTTGTACGTCAGTACATCATAACATTTTTTGATGTCAGTATACTCTAAGATAAGGTTATTACTATTAGAAAATTCTAATGGTAACTTCAATCCTAGAATGAAGTAACTAGTCAGCTCTATGTAGTTTTCAATGTTATCTCAGCTAAGGATAATCCTTGATGAACACGACGTAATATTCATCAAAAGTATTTCATCTTATTTTACACTCTGGCTCCATATTTACGAGTATCTTTTTACACTTTTTTATTTGTAGTGGATGATTTGTTGAATCTTCCCACTGATGTTTAAAACTACAATTGACTAGTCTGTTTTAGTTATATGTGCAAATTATGAAGAAAACCTCGATATCTCCAAGCTTTATAAGCAGGTATGGATGGTGTCTAGCTGGGGAGAGAGAGACTGGTCAATTGCAGTCCTAAATAAAAATGTGAAGATTCAAGCAATCAATGCAAAAGTGAATTAAATTTCACCCCATTACATAAGCCGATGGCTATTTGAACTCAGTAGCTAAGTGGATAATACGATGTCGTTTAAAGCAAACTATACTAGATTGGAGTCATGGATTGAACATCAACTCTGGGATGCACGTATATCAAGCTGACGAGTTCCAAATAAGACGAAATGTGCCTCCTGAATTCCACTGCTAACCACCGTCCATCTTTATTTACAGTTTTCGTCGTATTAATCATCATCATCAGTTGTTTTTCTGTTTATCTGTCTGTCTCAATATTTTTATGAATATCACCATGTTGATTAAGAAGTATACAAATTTCTTCGAATGTTATTCAACTAAAAAATGGATTTTATTAATTTTGAGTTTGTTAATTTTTGTTTTGTAGTTGAAAGACGCCTATAATACAACCCTAACTCATTATTATCGAACATGTCTGTCAGCTGAAGAAGCTAGAATTGATTGGCATTCAAGGATTTTGAAAGTAAGTTGACATTTTTAAACTCATATATCACATATTTAAGAAAACTCAGAAGAGGGAATTCATTTATCGTATATATATCATTTACTCAGGCTGTACAATCGTATTTATAGTTTAGTTTAGTTTACGCCTGTTACTCCCAATGGAGCATAGGCCGCCGACCAGCATTCTCCAACCCACTCTGTCCTGGGCCTTTTCTAGTTCCATCCAATCCTTGTTCATTTTTCGCATGTCTATCTCCATTTCTCGGCGTAATGTGTTCTTTGGTCTTGAGGGTTCCATGTGAGGGCTTGTCTTGTGACGCAGTTGGGTGCTTTCCTCAATGTGTGTCCTATCCACCTCCAGCGCTTCTTCCTAATTTCTTCCTCCGCTGGGATCTGGTTTGTTCTCTCCCACAGTTATTTATTTATTTATATATTTGGACACATGAATATTGGTACAAGAGAGCGCCAATATATATGCGCCTTACAGAACAATGAGTATTCGAAGAGGAATACAAAGAAAAAAAAGAAGCTAAGGAGCACAAAAAAAGAGAACAATAACGAAGAGATTGGTGTAAGGTAATGTTGTTGCTAATAGGTAGGTTGTTGCTAATAGTGTCCGGCCAACGGATCTGAAGTATTTTGCGTAGACAACTGTTAATAAACACCTGTATTTTCTGGATGATGGCTTTCGTAGTTCTCCAGGTTTCTGCCCCACACAGTAGAACTGTCTTGACATTTGTATTGAAAATCCTGACCTTGGTGTTGGTTGACAGTTACTTTGAGTTCCAGATGTACTTTGGTTGTAAATATGCTGCTCTTGCTTTTCCGATCCGTGGCTTCACATCTGCATCAATCGTATTTATAGCTAATTTACATTTAAAATAGTCTACCGGATGATATGAGAAAATGCTTTGAGAAAGACTTCGTTTTGGATAGCTTATGTAACCTGCTCCAAAATAACAAATGAACTTATAAATACACATTGATATGGTCCAATGTGAGGTTGTATCCTTGACAATAAGGATGGGGCGTCTGGAAAGGATAATATGAAGCTTGGAAATACTAAAAGTTCTCCTCGAAGATTTTGTCAGACCTTTCTTCAAAATTTCCTCGTCAGTATCTCCCCTGAACTCAATGTTTTTTCATATATGTATGTGAGAGTTTAACCCAAATCAACAAATCATTCGACATGACAAACAACGCAGTTCGTACTGGTAATATGTAAATCTCAAACTATATTATGATTATCTCCCCACATCACCACAACTTTTAATTTCATTGATTCGTATAATATCAGAGGATAAAAAAGATGATCTGCAATTGATTGATCGAGTTAAAAGAACAATAATCTGAACGAATACTATATTCGGTGAATAAATAATAGAAGTTGTCAGAAAATAGTCGAACGTAATGGTGAACAGTTATCGGACTGAGTTAATCCTTAGACTCACTATTGTTCTCTTTCCATTACATTTTTAAGTCGATACATTCAACAGTTGGTTTCAATTTTTAAATGGGAAGAAAGTATACACAAATGCTTGTTTAGGGGTATAGAATGTGTGTTCAAATGTTATTTCTCGTCAAGGTTACTTTCAGCAGCTATATTTCTGTGCCGTAATTCAGACTACAGTGTGCGGCGGTAAGAATTCAACACACCTATTTTCTTACCTCGAATTCATATTTATGTGACTCATTTGCGTTGTACGGTTTTATTTTCATACACATAGTTCCCTTTATGATTTTGAAAAGAGCAAGAACAATGATTCTAGCAGAATAACATAAATTCATTTTATTTCGTAGGTTCTCGTCAGCTGCTTACAACCTGTGGTATTTAAAAAGATAATAATTACATAATGCGTTTAAATTGCTTACATGAGAGGGTTTATATTGAAGAAATATTCGTAAAGTATGACATGGGTGTAAATGAAATTAATAGGCTGAATATATCAGTTCATTATTTCGATGAAATTCAACAATCTCTACAACCCCTTACAATTATCACGTGCTCACTAGTGACTAACTTCGAGAAGAAATTTCCGAAGTTCTTGTAGGAAACCGTAGCCAGTGGAGCTAATCCGTGTTGGGTGTGAAGCAATCACCCGCCAAAGACAACAAAAGATGGTCGCACTATGTCGTGGATTGATTGAGGCTAGACATTAACACTGTTGTGTGCTGGCTCACTTGTGTAGATGTTATACGTTTGCGCGTGATACCTAAGATCTTGAGTTCGATTCTTATGTACGTGATCATTGATATCTACTGTTCTAACGAAACTTCTATCGAGTGCTTTCAAGTTCTCAATAGTAGTTTAACATGAATCAATTCATGATTTCAATGAAATTCAACTATCTTCATGAATCCATATTAAATATTTCTTTTTCATCATTACCTTTACTACCTTTGTTATTATAAAGTCATAATTTAAAATTTATAATTATTAATTTCTTTTACAGTGTCTTAATCATCAACAAATATTAGAAAATGATCGTTTAAATAGTTTAACTAATGGTTTAACAGTTTATCGTAATACTTTAGATGATACTTTACCAACATGGAAAGCTGTTATAAATGAAGTAGCTGTATGTATATTCATTTATTTTGTTATTTATTTATTTATTTTATTTTAACACATAGATATTGGTACAAGGAGGCACCAAATAAATATGCGCCACACAAATCTCATTTGATATGTGTGAGGGCTGTGATACTGCCCGGGTATCCAAACCGAAGCAGGTGGTTTTCTTAGGGGGCCACACCTTGAGCCTTCAACCTGAAGGTCTGATCCACAAGGCAATGGAACAACGTATGAAGATGCAGTCCCATGTTAGCCGGTGACAGACGATTGGCTCATACGCCATTTGTTCCTTTCTAGATACTGGAGCCCATGTGCACCATCGGTTTGGAATCAGAGTTTTACAACTCCCCTAGGTGGACTCTCCATGTCCATCAACCTGGTTAAAGCGCCGGACGTTCGCTTTTCCTCCTCTCAATTTCGTAAACAACAGTAATGCCACGAGATAGCATTGAGTAGGACTTCCCTGGCAGAGGCTATATACGCGTGGCCATGTGAGAGCATTTCGAGATGCAGAGCGGACTCTCCCCACTCTCAGGCATACCAGGGGATGGTTTACAGAATAGAAAATGAAATTAATCAGTCTATTTAACAGCTTGTCTAATTATAATTAGTAACGATTGTTTAATATATAATCCAGTTTGTGATGTTTAGATTAAAATAATAAGGACGCAAACATGTATGAATAACACATGGGTCAAATCGATGTGTATTTGTTTGTTAAGAAGTAATGATAACGTAGAGTAGAATAGATGATGTTACCTAAATGGTTTGAATTATTTTTCTGGTTGGCGTTTTTTTCAGCAAGTTAGTTTTCTACGGGATAGGGTCACTAACCCCATGCCCAACCCTCCTCCTTTATCCGGGTTTGGGACCGGCAGTAGCCGCAGAGGGGCTCCAGACGAAGTTAATATGTGATGTTATTACTTACTTATGCCTGTTACTCCTCGTAAAGGAACATAGGCTACCCACCATAATTGATTATTGAACTCATTCTTGGGCAATCCTCTCCAGTTATTATTCATCCCTTTATTGTCTATTTCTTATTCCTGGCACAATGTGTTCTTCAGTCTTCCTCTTCTCCGTTTATCCTCAAGTTAAAAACGCTAACCAGGTGATGTTATATTTACTAGTAATCACGATCAAGATAAGAGAATTAATGTCACTGTAGTGAAATTGATAGTGGATTACGTAATCACTCAGAATAATGAGAAATAAGGTCGAATAGATATGCAAACATCAAAAATAGATCAATGACACTCCGATATCACTTCTAATGGCAACTGTGAATTTACATGTGCCGGCGGTAGCATGTATATAGGAAAGACAGAGAGAATGGTTTTTACTAAGTTTTCTGAACACATCCTTAGGTTCCTATGCCTAAACACGAGTGCAACTTCAAAGCATTACTAAACTCATTCAATTTCATTTTCCATTCTTCAAACCTTGTTCTTTATCTCTATTTATATTTATTCATTGCATAATACCATATTGCTAACAATTTTGTATAAAATTTAATATATACGAATGGTGAATAACAGTATAAACCGAGAATATTTGTGCTTTGCCCTATTTTGGACTCATCAGTTCAATTTACTTATATCCCCATGGTTGATGTTTACACCGAAACGTATCCGTCCTATTAAACTACACTGAATCCCGACAGCCACTAACGTTTGCAACCGATGTGGGATTTAGTTGTATTTGAAATGGTTATTTATATTTTGGATTCGGTGGATAACACAATAGCATCTTAACCAAATGGTACTCTGATCGAGTGCCTGAGTGAATGAATGGCAAATCTGGGATGCAGGTACATCTAGCTGAGAAGCCCTAAATAAACCGAAGTTCGCATCCTGAATTCCACTTCTAGCCACATTTTATCTAGTCTATATCATTTTGTATCGTAACGGCTATGTCGAGGCAATTCGTACAGATACCTATAAGCCAACCAAGACTGATCAAATTTCAGTCAGAAATATCAGTAACGCGATAATCCTAAGCATTTCAAATAATTCAATCTACTTCTGAAGTGTTGACGGGGAAACCAGTTGAAAGTTTGATTCCTGAGAAATCTAATTGACTAACATCTCTAAACAATTAATTTTTGGTATTTATAATGCATTTAAACCAACCGAAACTCCTTCGTTTATTTATTGTAAAAATATTTGACAATTCATGATGATTGAGTCTGAACTCTTTGCAAAAATAAATGTTTCCTCTTTGTCTCTACATTCATTTTAACCGTCTGTTATTGTGGTCTTGAAGTTATGTGTTCACGTGCGAAACCGAAAGTTCTCGACTTGATTTCTTGATATGGAGTCGTTAATGCATGTCTCCTAAAAGTTCCATACTCGAACGAAACACCCATCCGGTGCTTCCCGGTGTTCAATTAGCGGTTAAACTGGAATTAGTTCGTGATTTAAATTATGGAAATTTCATCTTTGTTGTTTTCATTTCATGTGCATTTAGAATTTGTGAAAAACATTCGCTGTTTTCTAATCATTTTTTATATCCTCATCAATGTTACATTCTCAAAACGATATCCTGCAGCATCTCACTTAATCTCTTTAGTACAGAAAAAATATTGATTTCAATTAGCTTTTTATTAGGAAAATTAAATTAACTACTTTCCCAGGTAATTGAATATGAGACACGTTAAGTGTGTAGGGGTTAATGACACTACCAGTTTGCCAAGACCAGAGTAGATATGGCAGGTCTCGAACTCGGGAACACTTGGCAGCTGTAAAGTTGTACGCCTGAACCACTAAATCAACTTCAATTGTGTGATCATGCTATTAGTGCATCAGTTTTACATTCTTCTACGTACATACTGAATATATTATTAATGAAACGTCTAATATTGAAGCAACCAATTGGATTTCCAGCAGATGTCATTTACGCTTGCTTTCAGGTTAAAAGGCTTCATCAAAACGAGAAGCAACCAACTTGGATATGAGAGCTTATAGTGATCTAGGCCTTCAGCTTTCAGCCAATTCATCCTAGGTTCCAACCTCTCTTTGCCTTCTTCGGTTTGGATAATTGAGTAGTAGTAACGTTAGCCCTTACAGATTTAGAGCGCCGCATTCTCAAGCACCTGGATGTTATAACTTGTGCCCTGTGTTTTATTAATGTATGACGTACTGATACCGCCAACTGGAGAACAGTAATTTATCAACCAGACCAATGACGCATAAAACCCGTACTATCAGTCTAGAGTCCTTATCGGTCGTGCTTCCCGCCTAGCCCTGCTTCTTAAGTCCAGAACACCAATCTCAGCCCCTGCGATATGAATAATTTATTTCAAACATACTGGGTTGATATACCAACCAGACAGACTACATCGTGCCATAAAATAGGAAACAACATTTGTACAAGATTTAGCCAAATATGGCTGTGAATGTGGGAGGTAGTAATTGATAGACTGGGTATAACTCAAGAATGGTAAGTGGTATGATAACAGTTTATAGATCGAAATAAAGCTCATAATAAGAGGGACACGAAGATGAATAGTTTAGTTACTCAACTATTATACGATAAAAATATACGTATAATATTGGTCCATAAATGGGTCCCATTCATTATTCTCATCGGTATATAACACTGGTGAATGAAGGTTAAAAAAATAGCTTTTCATATTAGTTTGTAGATGAAATGTGAATCTTGTCTTTATGTTTTTCCATTTTATAGAATGCTATCAGTTTAGCTGATCCATTATTAGATTTACAAAATTTTCGACAACGTTCTCATCATCAAGAAGATTTGTCTCAAATATCACCACAACAATCAACAAATTCAATGAACAAACAAACTAATAGTTCCATAAAATCAAAGAATGTTGGTTGTTCACTTCAACGTCTCATCGATTTACCATGCGAAAATGTGTTACTACAACAAAATCAACTCCATCAGAGTCCATCCTCAAAATCACAGGCGTTGAATATTATATGTAGAAGAAAATCTCAAACATGTGTTGACAGAAGTAAATTTTCATGTTTTGGTTTAAATTTGATCATAGAATTTTAAGCATTCTTGTTAGTCAAGTATGTAATTATAGTTACTCAACACGTAACCCGGCCAAACCAAAAAGTGGCATCAGTAATTGAAGTCACTAACTCTTAGCCATATTGGTAGATGCCAACCAGTTGGTTGGAATCCGCATGACTATCATAACTAATGGTTGAAGACTCTGGATGACATGGCTCAGAATCGATCACAATGGCGTCGGTGTATACACTTTCCGTCTTCCCTTAAACTAAGAGATTAAAATCCTTTCCTATCTTTCTTTCTACGAACTAATTCTTTCTTCCTGTACTATATTCTTATATGCAATCTTTCTTTTATATATTGCCACCTCTGAATTAACTACTTATATGAATCCGGTGTTCATCTTGTTGTGTTAATGAAGTAAGGCAACTTGAACCGATGTATATATGTGCCTGGTCCTACGTTGTAGCTGACTGACTGCCATGCATCCCACTTTCGATTTGTGATACATACTACTTATCCCTGTCGAAATCAGTAGCACACACTACACTAGTACTTTCTGACAGATTCGCATCCTCGATCCATTGACTTTGAGAGTTTCCTGTTGACCATCTCCAATCAGTACGTAACATCTCAACATAATCTGTAGTATGTATGTCAGGCCTACATTTGAGTGTATGTATGTGTATTGCTTACCCTATTCATCACATGTCTGTAACCTATTTCTGTCTGGTCACAAATTTTGAGTCACGTTTAATCAAATGGAGTTGGCATGTTTGCTTTCACCTGTCTTCGTCGCTTTATTTCTTTTTCATTCTCGTATTTGACTTATTTCATTCTATTATTCACTAACGCCAATTAAGTCGATAATAATATGCGAAGGTTAACGGTATGTTTATTTCATTAACATCCCCATGCAGTCTAATTGGAGAGGACTTGTGACGATTGTTGAATTGTGTAGTTTACATCATAGACTGATCTTAACTGTACTATCATATGAAACTTGCCTAGTCTTAGAATTAGACTTTTTAGTGGTTGTCCATAATGTAGACCACACCCTCCATACTATCACTAATTACTAATTTCAAGACGTAATTCTCGGGCGTTCTGTTCGGGAGCTTCGATAAATACAGTCCAATTGTTGGGGATGCTAGATCCCTCTTGTTATTACATCTGGGACGCATGAGAATAGCTTAGCTCGTGTTATCGTTTGCTGCTGATCCTTCGTTCACTTCCCCGATTTACATGATGTCGTAATCTCTTCAAACATAGCAACAACCATGTCAAGTATAAGGACCGATAGCATTAAAAGATAGTTAAGGATTATCATGAATTGATTGGATCACTTTGTATCCCAGCTCGCTGGTCTGAAGCTTAAGTGCTCGTCACCAAACTTTAAAATCCTCTGTTCGACTGGTGCTTTTTGGTGGGAATCGTGGATGGGCACTGCTGAAAAGTCCCATACAAGGATGAAAGAACTGTTCAACGCTTGCTGGTTTTCAGTGTCTCTTAAACTAATTAGTGGTATCGTATCCAATGAATACTTGGGCAAGAGAAATCATTTCTATTATGCGAAATTATATATACGCATCGTAATGACCCTATCGAGCTATGTTTGTTGAAAAAATTGTTTCTTTAGGTCCTACTATGTTAGACAAGTTGATTGGAGAAAGCTACAAGCTCGTAGTTCGACGGTAAAGTCGTATTTTTTATTGTACTGAAGTGTGATGACAGTAAGTTGTTTCTCTTAGCATCTTCATCGATACTATCTGCTGACAATTAAAGCATGAGATAACATATGATCGATCCTAAAAATTTCATACCTTGCCTTACCCCACTGATTTCCGTTTCTACTGGTTGGGCTTTTTAGAACACAAAACTAGTGTATTAAAAATTTTTCACAGAAAGGTCGTGTGTATTCGGAAGTCAGGGAGTGATAACCACATTCATACTCTTAATAATATTAGTTATTCTTTTGTACGCGATTGAAAATTAGCTTTGTCGAATGTATTGTAATTTAACAGCTTCTTTTTCTATTTAAGGCAAAGAAAATACTCACATAAAATTCATCAGTTCATCGTCATTATCACCATCATCACCAGTTAGCTTACGTTTAATAATTCAACACTGTTTAAGTAAATCGTCAATATTAACATTAATTGATATGTTAACTAAAGATATTGAAAAAGAACGTCGTACAAAAAGAGGTTAGTTCTATCATGAATTCTTGTCGTTTTAAATTCTTTATATATACTGAAGTTGAATATAAGTAGATTAAAATGTTTGTTTTTGTGTTTCAAGTTGATTAGTAATAGTACTAGTAATTTTAGTTCTCATGGTTGTTAACACTTAGTAATTTGAAATAAATATACGTATGTACTGTCCCTCTCTCTCTCTCTAGGGACGCTAGATCCTCAGAAATCACTTGCTAAATGTCTTTATTTTAGAAGTTTAAATTTCTCATTTAAGCGCCAAAAGCATCCATTTTTACATTCAAATTGTATTTTCCTTTTGAAAGGACCCTAAATATCATTGATTTGTTCTCTCTTCTATTATGCTATTTTGTGTCATTTACCAAAGAAATTTTTATGCTGTATATATATACGCTCGAATTGTGTAATTGTTATTGTTCATGCTTTGGGGTACTTTCTTCCTTACTCCTGTTACTCTCAATGGAGCATAGGCTACCGACTAGCATTCTCGAACCCACTCTGTCCTGGGCCTTACTTTCTAGTTCTATCTAGTTGTTGGTCTTATGGAATGTACTTTTCCTTCATCTGAACCTGTTCTTCTCACTCTAGTTAACAGGTCTGGTACGCATCATAATAGTTTAGCTTGTGTTATCGTTATGTTGCTGATCTTTCGTTCACCGATTTTAGGTGATCTCGTAACCTCTTCAAACATAACACTTACCTTCCCAAAAATTAGTTAACAGTTGTAATTTGTTACAACTAAGTTTTAGGTTAATTTCAATTCATTTAACCATTAAATAAAGGATTATTTAAAGGATGTGTAATAAATCCATTAGAACTATACTAATGGGTAATATTTTCTAGTTAATTGTGCTAGGTTTGAAGCCGGGATAAATCTGAACATTTAATAACTTGAAATAATGGGAAAACAAATGTTATTTTATTCAGCTATTCTTTCGATAATAAAATCTATTAAATGTTTGTTGTATACAAATTATCTTTCAGCGACAAAACAAATACTGATTAGCGTTTTTAGTTATTGTTAGTAAAGTTATTTTTCTACAGGTTAATGGAGCTTATGACCCTATATGCTTAACCTTATGCCTTTGTCTTTATTCTTTATGTTAAGTGGTTTGAGCTAGCCGACTGGGAACATTCGTTCTTGGTTTTTCACTCTTGGTTTGTACTCATCGTAGCAAAAAAGATCGAATTGATGCTCTCTTCGAGATTCTATTAGGTAGGCGGAATAGAAATTTATACATAGATTCATTCCTGAAATTAAATGTACCTTCCTTCGAAAATGAAGGCGAATGTTCAGTTCACAGGATATTCTTGTTTTCCTTCTTTACTTAAACAAAATCTTGACGAATAATATATATTAATAAGTGGATTTGTTCATTTCTATCTGGGCTAGCTACTGAAAGCTTCTTATTCACTCGTCCTTTTATTCAAGTAGGAGATTCGGCTCACATATTCCAAGCGTATATATTAGTATCAGACTCGGACGACCATCCAACACAACATATTCGAAACCATACCGTCCAATTTCGTAATCTAAATTTTTATTAATGAGCTATTCGAACTAGGATTAACCTCCCATAAGACTGAGATGTTTGCCATTTATTGATCGCTGATTATTGGTCAGCGTCATGTTTGTCTAGTCGTGTATTATTGCGGATGTAATTCTAACCACCAAGTTACAGTGAGGCCTTTTGTGTCTAAGTAACTTGACATTGCTTGCACTGTGTGAGATGGTGGTTTGAAACAGTCGACAGGAAACATTGAATCTAGGTCTAGTGCTATTTGACACTCATTCAAGGTATAGCTGGAGATGTTTCAGGTTCTACGCTGCATATAACTTACTGACTGACGAGACATCAAAAAAACAAACAATATCAGCATTTACATAACATGTTTTTACTAACATTATCTTGAAAAAAACATCAAATGACTACAAGATGGTACTTATATATTACTTGCTTTACTGTGTACCCATGATTCATTCTTGTCCATCGTCTTTTTGTCTTTTCCTAGGTTTATCGAATTTAGTTCACGTTTACGCTCATCAACCAGCCTATACCGATATAGATACACTTATGGAATCACGTCATCGTTTATACTTCTCACGTGTACGTCTCACTTATCTTTTGTTATGCCGTCAAAAATTGACGCATAGTTTAAAACAAATTCATTCAAGTTCATTTGAAAATATAGAAACAGACAAAAGAACCTTCAACTCATTATCATCATCATCATCATCTTCACCATTGTCATCGGAAAACCTAGAATTATCTTCAAATTTAGTACAGGCTGGATTTTCCAAAATGATTCTTACTTCACGTATATGTTCTGATTTAAATAACACTAAAACTATCAATAATAACAGTAGTAATGATAAGAAATCTTATTTGATCACATCACGTTGGATACGCTTACCTGATTTGGATAGAATAACTAATCATGGGTTAAATTTAATGGGTAAGTTTCTATGAATAGAATTATTGATCAATTTTGACATTTCTTTCAATGAATTGCCTTTAATAGATCACTCCCCTTTTTTTAAAAAACTTCATTGTTTTAAAAGTTACTGTCTGGTGTACTAAATCTTATTTTTTTTTGTTTTTTTAAAAAATATTCAAGCTCGTAACAGTGACAGTTCGTCTTTCATGATGAATAAAACTTCATTTCAGGAAACGATCATGTACTTGGTATTGTTAACTTGAATCTACTACTCATTGATGATTAGGACTGCAACTGATCAGTCTCTTATTGACATATGTGCACCCTGTGCAGTTTGTCTCGATATTGCCTTAAACCACAAGCATTATAAGCAGAGATGAATGGTAGCTAGCAGTAGAATCCAGGACGCGCGTTTCATCCTATTTGGGACTCGTTGGCTGGATGTACCTACATCCCAGAGTTGATGTTCATTCCACTTAGCTAAGTAGATAACATGATGGCGTTTGAACCGAACGGCATTTCGTTCAAATCCTGAAGTGAAAATCAACTCTGGGATGCAGGTAAATCCAGCTGATGAGCCCTAAATAAGAAAAAATCGAGTCCTGGATTCCGCTGCTAGCCATCATCCATATCTACTTATAACAAATTGTAATATTTTAATAACTTTTCAATGGCCAGTCTCACTTGAGCTTTATCAGTTATTACAGATGCATTAGGGTTTGTGTAAAAATCAACACTAGTAAATAGTATTTGACACAACTATTCATTTGGATAATCTTATCTTCAATTGGCCTGTCAAATATCTCGTAACAAAATCGCCTATTAGAATATTGACTTCTATGACTTTGTCTCTGTTTTTAACCAATAATGGCACGTCAATCAGCACCCCACCACACTGAGATGATACGACCGTCCAGTGCTGCCAGGTTTTCAACAGTGATCTAATTTATAGCGGTACATGATTTTAATGAAGTTCAACATTCTCCACAACCTAATACTGACAATTCTTAGTAGTATTTGATCTAACCGACAAAATGTAAGTCAAATTTAATTGCCGCTTAATCGCACCGACTAGTTATTGATCTTTAAAGAACCTTCAATCTTCCATTACTTAAATGACTTTCTCATCGTATTTGATGTTTGTTTTGTTTTTGAACAAACAAATATTTCTACCTGTAATAATAATCGGATTTTGCCATCCGATTATTCTTTCTTATAAGATCCATTTAGTTTGGTTGCTCTTTAAGTAATTTTGTGCTTTATATAAATTCTCTTTTTTGTACATGTTAACTCAATAAACGTTTCAAAGCAGGAAAATAATCTGTTTACAGTTGATTCCTCATTAAGTGGCGACTGTAGTCGTATTTGTGCAGTCATTTTAAGTGTTGATCGAATTATTTCGATCAAAGTACAATTTGACCGATACATATATTTACGAGGTTGAATGTTACGTATGAATGACTAAGATCTTGTCCTATTGTAATCCTTACGCTTGTTTGAAAAAGTATACATTATAGTTTGTTGATTCAGATATCAGAATTTGGAAATATAACTGGATAAAAACTGATGAGGAGAATACATTAACGCCAATGTTTTAACAGTTCAATCGGATTCGTTGTCCGAAATAATCAAACATCACTAATTTAGTCCAAAATCTGTTCATACATTTAGTTGTTGTACCCAAATGTCCTGGTACGGCTCAGATATGAGAGAGTCAGCTCTCCCTCTAGAAATGCTCTCACATGGCCACGCGTATGCAGCCACTACCAGGGAGGTCCTTCCCACGGCGGGTGTGTTTTTCACGAAGTTGAGAGGACGAAAAGCAAATATCCGGCACTTTACCCGGGTTGGTGGATATGAAGGATTCACCTAGGAGAGTTGGAAAACCCTAATTCTAAATCAGTGGTGCACATGGGCTCCAAGATACTGATGAAAGAAATGGCGTATCAACCTATTGTTGGTCACAAACTACCATGAAACTGCATCTCTTAACGTTCCTTCATTGCCTTGTGGATTAAACCTCTTGGTCAAAGGCTCGGGGAGTGGCCCTCACACAGATCGAATGTTGAAGTTTAGCCCATACATATTTGATACTCTCTTGTACCAATGTTGATATGTTTAAATAAATAAATACTTTTTGACCAAGAACAAAAGAATTGTCTAATACTTTCTAGACTTCAGTGTTTAAATATTATCAGTTGCTAGTAAACTGTATCATCACATAACTAGATGTTTACAAAATCTACTTGTTATTTGTTCTTTCTTTTATATTCTCTTTAGAATGGCCTCCATTTCCTTTAGAAGATATAACACATGAAAATGTAAACGATAATATATTTCAATTGGATATTGAAAAGATTCGTGAACAACTTAAATCACAATCATCTTGGATATTAGACTGTATGAATACTAGTAATAGTGATAGTCATAATGATATTGACAATGAAAACACATTGAGTCGTGCACATTTTACTGTTACATCTAATAACACTATTATAACTGATAAGTATCAACATGTACCTCATGAAGTAATGCATAATCAGTTTAACTCTCCAATTAAACGAAGCGTTACATGTTCAGAAAAGTCAGTTACATTCACATCAACCAACAGTATACTTAATAGTAACATAATGGAAAAATCTAATCAATCATTAAAGAAACCTTTTCATGGTAATAGTATTCCTATTAGTAATAATGATAAATCATTAGAAAGCAATAAACGATTCTCCGTAATCAAGCAATCTCCCAACATAGAAGTTTCTCGAAAGCGATCACCTGAAATTTGTAGAATTCAATCTGAACGAACTGATATTACTACTATGAACAGTAGTATAGGTACCATTAAAAATAATACTGACAACATTTCCAGACATTCAATACTTGATCATTCAATAAATTCTCATAAACCAATTGTACCATTAGCAACTGATGAAACTGATACTGAAGATTCTATAAATAAACATTGTTCATCAATATCGTCAGTTCCTTATTCATCATCTATTTCATCAGAGAACACTGAAAATTCTAAAGAAGTTTTAACAGTCAGTAGTAGTGGTAACATTTTTGTTAAGTTTACTACATGTAATGTATTTTGTGTATATATTTTTTTATGAACTGTTTTTTGTTTGGTCATATTCAACTCAAGTCTAGGCTGATGTTATGGTTTACTGTGGAATATGTGAAGAAGTAAATATTACTGTTCAGTTTGTAGTTTAGCTGTTATTATCACCACTCAACAACCATCTACTTCAACAAACGATGTTAGCCGATGTAGAATTTGTTTGGAAAAAAAAGCTAGAGATGTTCAAACCAAAACGTCGGATCGGCTCATATGGTTATTGACTATTGATCTAAGCTATTGAGATTGATGTAGATTACTTGGTCGGGATCTTGGAAACGTATTCCATCCGGTTCAAAACACGACAACGAGCGAGGCAACTTAAATGTAGGCTGATAGAACGCTTACGTAATGGTCGTGAGCAGTGGTGGGTAGTGGAAGAAGAGATGAAAAAGGAAGAAGCGAAAAGTAACAGTAGACAACTGTTCAAACGTATAAAGAAAACGGGTATTGAAAACCCATCTGTTTGTGAAACTATCTCGGAAAAAGATGGGACTATTACTCAATCTCAATCCAGAAGATGGGCAGAACGCTTTAGGAAATAACTCAACTGCCTTTCAGCCACTCTTCAGTTACCCACTTTGTCCAAGAAACCTGAATGGCGAACTGATGTAAACCCTCTAAATGTTAGTGAGGTTGAACAAACTATAATTAATCTAAAGTGAAGGAGGGTCTGATGGACTATCCTTTGAGATTTTTGAAGATTTTGGTGCAGTATTAGCAGTTAGATGAACTGAAATCTTAGCCAAACTCTGGAAACTGGACGTGATTCTATCTCACTGGTCTCAATCACTTAACGTCTCAGTTAATACGAAAGGACAGAAGTCCTATTACGATAATCACAGATGAATGAGTTTAACTAATATAGTGTCTAAAATATTAACCTCAATAATACTTGGAAGTCTAGCTGCAGCTCGTGAAGAGCAAACTATGGTGGTTTCAAACCTAGACATGGATGTATTGACCAAATATTTAAACTTTGGCAAATTCTGGAACGTAGACATACCTTAAGGTGTCCGACTATAGTTTTATTCCTTGACCTTATGGTTGCATTCGGCTCCATTGATCGTGAGGTACTGTGGCAGTTTTTTATTGAAGTATATACTAAATAATTACATTAACTTTGTACAGGCTCTCTATTGGGACACCACTAATCGAATCAGAGCTTAAGACAAACTGTGATCGGAATCGTTTTCTTCAAATGGTGTTCGTCACAGTTGTCCACTTTCCCCAAAATGCAGTCTTCTGACTTCTTTAAGCAACAATGCAAACATGTCTGGCATGCGGTTCTCTCCCTCCAAATGTAAAATGTCGCTTCAGGATTGGCTTGCGTCATCGCCTAAATTTATGATACGTAGTGAACGCATTAGCCTCCCCACTTAGCTTGAGAGTCTCATAAATACTGAGGATCTGATTGTAGTGAACGAGAATTCAGGTGGGGGAAACCAGTTTATTGTTTAATGCAAAGTTACAGAGTACCTTCGTAAAATATCAAAACCATACATCAAGTACATTATTTACACATTTTCCTTATGTTATCCTATACGGGCTTCATGATTCTTCCAATCTTGTTACTTTTACAAATGTTCTCTATTTCCCTCCCTGTTCTCTTCAGTTCAATCTTCTGCTAGCAGGCATTCTTCTTCAGATTAGTATTACATATTATTTATATCTGGACGATCAATTTTTCAGTTGAATCTACCATCTAGTTGTTTATTTTAAGTTTCATTCTTCCAAAAGCACTTGAGACTCACTATTGCAAATATTATGACTGTTTGACGACTGCCTAGTAACTGTTTTGTACAAATCAACTGAATTCTCACAACAGTCTACATGTTTTATATATTTAATTGTATGTGCAATATTAAGTCATTTATTCTTCGGGTGGGACTATAATTTATGGACATTTTCAGGACGCTAAAATGACCTTGGTAATGAGGATTATAAACCTGTGGGAAGAATAAGGATTGTAATCTACAGTTGATGATTAGGGTTCGGACTTAGATTTAGGGTTTTCATCACGAACTGACATCAGCTAAAGTGCCAAAAGGCTATTTAGCCAAATGCATAAATCAGTTTCGTGCCAAAATCCAAGATCTGTTATCCTAAAACTGATTGATTCGTCCATCAATTATAGTCTTGCCATTCTTGGCCTTCTCGCTGTTTATATATATATATATATATGCTTTCTTTAAATTCTTTGTACAGACTAATTCATTTTGGTCTCGTCTCAGCCATGGATTACGTGGATCATCTAACAACAAACAACAATCTAATCATAAAAAATCTGAACATAATATCAAATCTCACCGCAACACTAATAATTCGTCATCTAGAAAAGAAATTGTCAAATCCGAAATATCAGAACCATCATGTTTACGCATTGTTAACATTCCAAATAGTTCTTGCTCTCTTGATTCTGGTAATACTGGTTCCTTGGATAGTGAACCTAGTTCTTCATGTAAATCAGTTCATTTTCACACTGATTCAATTGTGACCGATAACTATAGTTTAGAGAAAAACAGTTCAGATTTGAATCTAGAAGTTGGATCTTCTTCCAATTTGCATTGTTTAGGTTGGGCCAAAGTTCAACGAAGCTATCTACCTCGCAATCCCACTGAAATTCATTTACAAGAAGGTAATCTCTCTCTCTCTCTCTCTCCATATATATATATATATATATATATATATATATTTTCTCATTTATTATTGCTGTATCAAAACTAATTTTTCATCTTTTCAATTTTGTAAATAATATGTGCGGCTCTGTAACCGGGTCGGTAGATACTAGCTGTAAAATCCTACCTTCTAAGCAGTGGTGTCCTTCGGCTCTAGGTATTTGAGGGAGAAGATGGCCTAAAAACTTATTCTTAGCCATCTGTTATCCTGAAACTGAATTCCTTGAAGACGCTCTACTGCTTTATGCTTTGGACCTTTAGTTGGATGAGTCGGAGGTTGGCTATCGTGAAGTAAACTACCTCTCTTGTTCTGTTCACTCAGGAACAACATTCCGGCTAGCATACATAAGTATTCTCGTATGGTGAATACTAGTTTCGGAGCCCTTTCTTACCATATTTTATGTAAATAAAAGTAATAGAATAACTATCACAGTTACCGGTTGAATAACATACCGATATCTGTGTGAATAAAAGCATACAATGACAAACATTTTCCCCTAACTGTAGTTGTCATCTCTTCAACTATTGAAATACTATAAAGTAAATACCAATGATTTTTTTAAAATTAATATATAATGTACACTGTCACTGAGGAGTCTCCTATATAATATAACACAAACAGCCATACAATGCTTTGACACTTTCATTGATGGTCAGATCAGATCTAGTGATTTAAACTGTGATGAGATTAGAAATCCTTAAAAATTCAATTCATTAATCAATTTATTCAACTTATAGTGGATATAGGTGATAGTTATGTTTGTTTCAGTTTTTAGAAAGTTATCAATCATTCACAGTGTAACAAACATTAAAGGATTTTGGATAAAATTCTCTTTCATTGTCCTTCGATTATTACTTGTCAATAATCTATCAAATAATTATTCTGATTACCAAAATGTACTGATTACTTAGTGATTAACTTTTCTTATTAATTTTTTTATTGGAAATTGAGAGACAAGTAGAACTGTTTTCTTGTATAATGCTGTTGAAAAACTACACAATGTATCTGTTGTGATAAGTCATATTGGTAATATGCAATATGAAAGACAAAATATGGAAATTATTAGCAAAGATGTATGGTAGCTAACAGTGTAATCCAGGATATGCGTTTCGTCCTATTCAGAACTCATCAGCTGAATGCACCTGGATCTTAGTGTTGATGTACACTCTGGGACTCGAACCCAGAGGCTGTTCAATTACAGTTCTAAAATCAGTGGAAATATTCAATCAAACCATACAAAATGAATTCAAAATACTTCACCATACTTCACGAGCTAGTGGCTATCAGGACTGAGTAGATAATTGGATAATGCGATGGCGTTTGAAGCGAACGGTACTGGAATAGAGTCCTGGAAAAAATACCAACTCTGGATTGAAGCTACATCCCGCTGACGAGTCCCAAATAGGACGAAACTCACGTCCTAGATTCCACTGCTAGCTACCATCTATCTTTGCTTATAATGCTTATTACTTAAGGCAATATTGAGTCAATCCAGACAGGATGCACATATGTCAATAAGAGACTGACCAATTGCAGTCCTAAACATCAATAGGAAGATTCAAACAAACTATACTAAATGAATTTTAAAAGTATGAAAGTTTCACTATTATCAATATTAGTAAAGGCTTGAATTAGCCCGTTTTTGATATTCATCCATTGATTTTTGACCAGTGTTTGTTGGGACAGTTTCCCTCGATATAACCTTTTTTCTCAGTCACGATTTTCTTTTATAGGATTATTTGTTTGTAGCTAGCAGTGCAATCCAGTAGGTATGTTTCATTCTATAGAAGGCTGTTTATCAGCTGGATTTGGCTTTGTTTCAGATAAAAGGTGCCTTAATTCTAATCATCAGTGTGAAATTTAGCACTACAATGAATTAAGTACACTCAAATGACGAGTTCGAAGTGGGATAAAATACACCTAGTGTTTTACTGCTAGCTAAAATCATTAAAACTTTTGACAATAACTATTGTTCTTTATTTGCTTAGTACAGAACCGGAATAAGAGAATAGTAGGCAGCATTGACCACAGATGCCTTAGAAATATTGCTGCAGGGATCACCGGCTAAGTAATAGTGAGGTTAGATGCAGAGTATCAAAGAATGATTGTAAATCAGGTGATCAGGTTGTGAATCTTCATCGATTAAGATGCTTAGGCCACGTGTTACGTATGCCTAAACTCTGATTACCATGACGCACAGTGCTGACTAGTGTTGATGGTTGTAAGTTAGGGTCGGCCAAACCAAAACGTGGCATCAGTGCTTGAAGTCACTAACTCTTAGTCTTAGCCATGTTGGTAGATGCAAACCACTTGGTTGGAATCTGCGGGACTATCATATTCAATGGTTGGGGACTCTGGGTGACATGGCTCAGAATCGATCACAATGGCGTCGGTGTATACACTCTCTGTCAAACTTCGAGATTAAAATCGCTTCATATCTTTCTTTATTCAGACTAATTTTTTTCTTTCTATACTATACCTCTATATGCAATCTTTCTTTATACATTACCACCATTGGATTAACTACTTCTATGAATCCGGTGTTCATCTTGCTGTGCTAATGAGGTATGGCAACTTGAACCGATGCATATATATACCTGGTCCTACATTGTAGCTGACTGTCTGAAGCAACATTGAAAGCAAAATCTAATGAAATTCAATAGAGTATATATGATACACAGTTTTTGTTTTCTAACATATTTATATATTCACATTCTTGTATCATTCTCTCTTATTTTAGGTGATATAATTAGTATTTACCGTAAAGTTAACTCGGATTGGTGGTATGGTGAAGTGAATAATAAAAAAGGTTTATTTCCAGTAAATCATATTGAAGAATTTTAAAGTTTCAATTCATGAATAACAATAAACAAATATTGTATACCCTATAATTATTTGAGTGAGTTCTTTCACAAATTCAAAGTACCCTACACTTTAGCTTCATCCCTGTTTTGTTCAACATATCTGATGTATATATTAATTTACATGAAGCCAATCAGAACATATCCACTTATCAAAATGATGACAGTGTAATCAATATTTATGTACCTATATCTTTAAGATGAAGATAAACAATTTGATCTCTTCGGTTATGACCCACTGATGATGACTCCGATTTGGATGAATATACGAATATACTATGCATATATATCTTCCATTTTAACTTCATACATTACCTTGGCTAACCGTATATTTATGACGGTGGTAATAATAAGAAAAAGGCAAACACAGGTTGTGTTGGATAAATTTTATTTCAAGCATTTGTTTATCCAAACAAACATTAAGTATAAGAAATAGGAAAGCGAAGCGGAGAAAGTGAGCAAGTCAACTGGATTTAATCAATATTTATAATCAGATATGTAATGAATAGGATAAGTACTACACACAAAAACACACATATATATATATATATATAAACAGTCAAAGTTAACAAGCGAATAATTAACGAAGTCAAAATGTCATTTGAAAAGAATGAACAAAATCGATCTGTTCCAAAGTCAGAATACCCCTTATAATCTTGATATAGAGTACCAGACACTATAAACTTAATAATTTAAATATGGAATTTATAGTGATGTACATCATCATATTTACCGCTATGTTGTACTCTTAAAGTACTACATATATATATGCCATCCTACTCGCCTCGTGATTATTATATTATGATTCGTATATTAAACATGTAAGAAGAAATTATGTTTGTTCATTGAATGTTAAATATTGAACATTGAATAGTAGAGATACACTACTCACTCACTAACACCCTATCCTATCCCCCCCCACATTTTACTAAACCTTTGATCATTATTATTATTATCCTTGATTTGTATTATATCATTAAATTATTGTATATTTCAACACATAGAAAATAAGTCAGCGCATTAAACTTTCAATTTATTCAACTTTATATTCAAATATCTTGATAAATATGTAGATCTAAATGCTTAGTCTCTGTGTATAGATTAAACATTATTACATATAAATAAGATGAATATCATCAGTACCAGTATCATTACCACCATCAACTCCACCAGTGACATACACACACACACACACACACTCTCCATCTATAATTCCCTTTATACTCAGAAACAATTAATATTTATGAATACAATTCATGTTATATTCTATATTTAAATGATAATTTTCATTTATTTATTTGTTTGTTTGTTTTTCAATGTTATTTAACCCTATTTCGGTTTCTCCTTCTTTGTGTTTATTTCATTTTGTTTTGTTTTTCTTTGTGATAAGTCTTGCAAATTGAACGTTATATTCGTTACCTAAGCTATTCTATAATAACTCCCATGCTAGAACTATACAGCGACCTGAACAACGAGAGAGAAGATACAAAGTATACGAGAAGTACTTTACTCAAATGTTCATTTCAATACAGAAAATATAGGGTTTTTATAATGTTTTTTTTAAAATATCCTTGAGTTGCTCGAAGATTCTGGAATGCTACTAAACATAGTAGCAGTATGGCAATCAGTTAATTAGAACCTCTACACGTGACGTTTCACTTCCTTGATATTTTTAGCTAAAACTTTAAATGAACGCTGATTGGATAAAACGCTTCTTAGTGTTTCCTGATCCTGAGGAATTTTTTGGATCACTTCAACACTGTTTTTTTTTTGTAGTCTCGTTGATATTTTCTTTCTTCTTTTTTTTGAAAAAATGAAATTATTTTTGACGGGGTTCTCTACTAGACCTTGTCTTTTTTGGTGATAATTATGTCTCTAATGTTTATTCATTGTTGAATAGTTTCAATATTTCGATGTTTTCATTGTTTTTATTTAATTTGTTTGTTAGTTATTGGGTTTCTCAAGAGAGAGAGAGAGGAGGGGGAAGGGATAGGAGATGGATTTATTGTAATCTCTTGTTTTATTATAATCATTATGAAGAATTTATAAGTCTTCTAACTGAACAATTAAATCGGTTCCTTAAGCTTTTCTAATAAACCTCAGGTTAAATCTACACATTAACATGAACACGAGAGAAAATGGGCGAAGTTTGAAAAGAGTGCTCTACTCAAAGGTATTAATAGAATTTCAGATGGTTTTGGACTTCTGGAAGGTTCTGGAACCATACTAAACATCGTAGTAGGATAGGTGAACGCACATGACCCTTCACTTCCTAGATGTTCCTGAAGAACTACTATTCAATACTGATTTGACAAGATGTTTCTCTGTGTTTTCAAGGCCCCTCTGGATTTTTTATAGGAATGCTTTAGATCTCCTCGTCACCTTTTTGAGTCTACTTGCTGTATCAATAACAACGATAACTACCTATATTAGTGCAGATCGAATCCTATCGACCAAGCTGCGATGTGGCCACCAGTCTAGGTGAATCGACATTGCGCGCACTACGTTGAGATAAGATGTTGGTTGGGAGTGGTAACATCTCTGACTGTGAAGCTAGGTGACACGAGATCGAATCCTTTAGGAAGCATCAGTTCCCTCAAGATTACAGGTATACCTTGTTGACGAGTGTTAAGTGGCACGAGACTTAAGTCTAGGGTTTCGGTTGACTACCTCCAACCATCATCTTATGATAACTACCTATGTCATTTCTTTGTCCTGCCAAAAAATCAACTAATATTACATTTGACTTTTGTACTGCTTATTATGTATTCTTGTTACTCTTCGTATCTTTAAGTATATATAGCTTGTTTATTGTTCATACTTTCTTAATTTGAACTGTGATGGAGATTGTTTCTTATACAAAACTCATTTAATCAGTTGGTAATCAATTTCTGTAAATATACATTGTACGTTGTACTTTCTAAATGCAAAGTACTCCTGCAAGTTTGACATGAGCCTGTGTCTCCATTTACTCCTGGTAAAGAGCTGTTAAAAGTAGTCAAAAAGTTTTTTATCTGAATAGTTGAAATCACTCTGTTTTTAATAAATTCCGAAACGATCCATGACAATCTGGATCGTTCACGAAATTGTGACTATATTCTGGTAATAAAAAGTCGAATTTAGACAATGAGAGCAGTTTATGCTCCATGCTGGTAAAACCTCTCCACTCCGAGTTGAGTATATTCTGCGACTCGGTATTCAAGTATTTAAGCATCGTCTTCTCTGAAGAATTAATAACATCCAGTGGCAACACTATTCTTAGAGTAATGTTACTCAAAACTAGATCAATAGACCGCAATAATTGTACGTCATACACTCGATTAAATTAACTGATCAAGAAACGTAAATAATCCTGGTCGGGAATTCACTATCACATAATAGAAATCAATCAACATATGGAGTCGATCTATAAAAAAGCTGTTACCAAATCCATAAAATTCTATTTTTCCCCATATGGCAAACAGTGAATATACTATATAAAAGAAGGGATCTCTTGCTGTCAAATTAACTGCTCTTATAAATTTAGTTCAATTAATAAATAACATTGGGCTAAGTAGAAATAAGAAATTTTCTTCTGGTACAATACCCTAAAACTTCAAGATATATTTCAGTAAAACCTTTAGAAATTTGATTTATACCTGTAAAGATACGTAGTGAGCCAATTACCTCTTTAAATCCTTAAATGACACAGCGATCATTTACTTATTTCGTAAATTAATTACTGTCACAGTGTTTTGCCAACGTCTACAGTTGTTATTAGTGTGTCGTAATTTAAAATTATCTGAGAATGATAAGTTCATGTGATTGGTCAGATGACTCGAATTTCTAACGAATAAGTTATCAGAAGAGGGTTTTGTAGAGAACCTAGTAATTTAATAGTTGAATTCATGAGTCAATTGAAGCTACACCACCATGGAAATCCCGGAAGTACTGGATGGCCGTTTCGTTCTGGTGCGCATCAATGATTCCGTCCGTGGGATTCAAACTCAGGACCTATCGGTCTAGCGTATGAACGCTAAACCTCTAGACCACTGAGCCGGCATTTGACAACGGTAATGGAGCAACATCACGAGATGCAGTCCCATGCTAGCCTATCCCCAATAATTAGTTCATACTCGTTGTGTCCACCAACCCGAGTAAAGCGCCGGACATTCGCTAACTCCTAATATCTGTTCAACTGATGTAATCTATGCTATTGATGTCAACAGTTATAAATAGTATGTATCATCAATTGAAAGTGAAATGCCTGACGGAAGACGGTTAAAACGATCATATAGAAGAGAATGATTGGTGTGAAAATAAAGGGACAATCAAGACTGAGACGACTAATTGGCATATTGCTAATGAATTGTTTATTGTATGGTCCGTAGATTCTTCACATATATATTCGACTGTCCCCGGTTATGTTCTCGTTCATGACAACACTATCTTAATATATAAATAACACATTATGATCAGAATATATTGAACTAATATCAAATAAACATATTGAATTCATGTACAGAAATGATATGCAATACATTTTATCATTAAACAGAAAACATCAATTCAATTTCATTTATTCAATCATTTAAATGGTTACGTAATCAAAGAAAGTTTTATCCATCATGAAAATTATTCCATAGTTTATTATTATGAATATCTCTTCAAATAGTACATGATTATCAGTGTACTTCTTTATTATGATCTGTTTTCTTTTCTTTCTGGTGACTTTGTTTAGTTTCACAAAAAAACAAAATGATAAAATACTCTGAAATGAAATAAGAGATTAAAAACAAAATTACAATAAAAATAATAAATGAATTTGTTTGGTTTGATTTGGTTTGGTTTTTTTTTTTCACAAAAAGAAACGAAAATAATCACCAAATCAATACTACTGGTAATTGTCAAGAGCTAAATGATTATCATTGAAATCATTTGAAAAATATTATGCAATCGATTAATAGTAATAACAATAACAACGACAACAACAACAAAGACAAA